AATCTAGAGTGGTAAAAACCTCACATTTGTATCCAGAAAGGATTCAAATTTTCCATATTAAAGTTACCCTACTTCAAAGCAGAGCAAATAAAGAAACAGAATGATTATAAATGTACACATGTATATAATTTAGGAAGTAGTTAGTTTAGTTTTTAATTCACATTTTAGGATGGAGATCAGATATGGAGTCTTTGGTCTGTATGAACTGCCAGAACTCTGCTAACTTAAATGAGGTGCTGGAAACTCAAACTGTATTTGATTGCCAGGATTGGAACATTGAAAAAAATAAATGGCTTCCTTTCTCTTAGTCCAGCTGAGCTCTATACTCAGTCATTACTTGTTATTGTTTAACCAGTGCCTGAAGTTTAGTAGTGTATAGTTGTGAGTTATATTAATTTTTTAAGTGATGGATGCCAGCACTTCTTGTAAGTAAGGACTCAAGTTACAAATGCCTGCAGGAACTCAACAGAATACATTACTCTTAAATGCATTCCAAATGGGAGAAGGTAGCAGGAGAATGCCTGCTTTTTCTAGCTGCAAGATATTGGTAGTCCTGTGATTGATGGTTTCTTCTGCCATGAGAGGCAGGGATGCAAGATGACAGTGGCCATTATGTGACGCTCTGTTACTGATAATAGCAGGATCTCACCTCTGCTTATAGTTCAGAGTGCTTTTGGACTTGGAGCACAGAATGGCGAAGTAAATAATTTGCCTCTTTCTGAATGCAAGGCCTTGCCTCTCTGACTTGCAGTGTTTTACTTTCCATCTGTGCTGAATGATGGGTCTGCTGCTGAGCCCAGAACAAGGAGTACTAGCCATTAACAGCCAAGTCATTAATAGACCTGATGAAATAGTCTTGTCAGAACTGCTGCAGTTTCAATGCTTGTGTTTTGGTGATACTAGGAAAGCTTAAATCGATGATGATAAGGTAATCTGAGAGTTCACAGTGCAACAGTGTCATATTAAGGACATAGAATTGCAAACTTTTCTGCAGAGTAATTAAGTTTTTTAGGATGTGCTTATAGCCATATTTGGAGGCCTCCCATTTTTTACAGCACAATTTTACATACAGCCACAATATTGTCTTCACCCCATCTATACACTGTCAAAGCAAAAGGGTAGCCTGATTACAGAAGGTTTTTACCAATAAAAGCCTCAATTTAATTTGCAAAAAAAACCCCATATCTTTCTCTTCATCAGCACGGCTTTTGTTTTAAGGTTTTTTTCAGTGAATAACAGGAATATTCTGAAGTTTAAAGCTTTGGACATTAATGGCTATATGAAAGGTTTCCTAGATACGTAATTTAAAAAAAGTTGACTGACTAGATGATAGGAAGAAGTTTGAAAGGAGGACCTAATTTATAAATCACTTCCTAGGGCAAAACTACTCATGGGAGATTTTGATTTCAGGTTTGCTTCTACAGGGGAAAGAATATATACTCCTCACAATCCCCAGTTTTTTAATCCATTATCTAAATTATTAAACTAATTGAAGTTAACTTGAGTTACTGATTTTTATCAGGCTTTTTGTGGTTTTGGTGCACTATTCATACTATTTGTAAAACTACCCAGTAAATCAATGTACAACTCCTCTCCAGTCTTCCAATTTAGTAAGCACTGTTGATTCAAAATAGAACTTGAATACAGGCATAATGTTAGGTTATTCAATGCAATTGTCATGAACTTAGATACATAAATCCTGTGCTAGATTGAAACGTGGACTATTTTCATTGTACATATCCCTTGTTTTAAGGGTGGTTTGGTTGTTACTTGTATGTTTATAGAAACAACCTCAGGAAAATCTGTTTTTATAAGCAAAAAGTTCACATCTCTAAAATGCACATAAATGTTATCAAAATTCATGGCTATCATGTCTTGAGAGTTTTAATAGTAGAGTCTTCTTTGTCTTCTCCTAGGAGAGCAGTGCATACTCACTGAGTATCTTGTTTCCATCAGCTTCTTGAATTTATATTTCCACATGTAAATTTAAGGTAGAGACACAGTAGCAAAGAAGGGTGCATTGCAGTTCTATTGGAAGGTGGTAGTGCATTGTGTTCCAGTTTTGGTCTGTATCCTTGAAAGGGCTCCTACATACATGTATACATATCTTTTCCATGATCATTTCATTTGCAAAGAATCAGAGATGTAAATCACAATATTCTTGATAAAGCTGTAGGTAAATACACCATGCAAAATCCGTGAACAAAAGCCTGGAACAGAAGAGATGAGGCTCGAAACTCCAGATGGAAAGTCCGAAGGAGATAAGTGGAGAGATGGGAAGGCTTAGTGGTATATTTATAGTTGAGTTCCTGAGCTGATGTCATAGCATGTAGTGTGTTGTATGACAGGAGTTTCCAAAATGTTGAAGACCATGTTATCATCTCATATATATCATGATTTCATAGACCAGACTAGAGAAGAGGAAGTGAATTATCAAGGGTCAGTATGATTTGCATCTATAATTTGATCTTACCCACGTGCTGACCTATCACAGCTCAGTTGGTACCCACATGTGGTAGGACCAGAGAGGTGTCCGCTGCCTGACTGGGACAACTTTTCCTCCTGTGGCTGCATGCTGGTGATAATAGAGGCCCGAAAAAGAAATCCTTGTTGAACTTCACAGATCAGTGATCTACTGGGAAGGTGTTGTCTGAATTCCTATCTTCAATATGAAATTAAAGAAGGAAGTTAATATGCCTGTATTTTGTTTTCTTTGTACAAGTGAAATATACAAATGTATATTTGTATTTTAATAACATCAAAATATATTTTGAAGCTTTGAGTGCTTGACCCTTCCAACATATTCTTTGATTTGGTTGGAAGTGAAGGAAACATCTGTCAGTGTCCACAAAAAAATGATTCACTCTAAGTCCTAAAGTCAAATCACAAGAAATCTGTTCAACATCTAAAATGTGTTCTGAAGGGAGGGTGTCAAGAAGCTGGAGCCAGGCTCTTTTTGGTGGTGCCAAGCATTAGGACAAGAAGTGATGCACAAAAACCAATGCATGGGAAGTTCCACTTGAATATAAGGAGGAATTTCTTTACTGTGCAGGTGACTGCCCAGAGAGACTGAGGAGTCTCCCACCCCAGAGATGTTCAAGAACCATCTGGAGCAATCCTGTGCCATGTGCTCTAGGATGACCCTGCTTGAGCAGGGGAGTTGGACCAGAATACCCACTGTGGTGTATTCCAGACCCAACCCATTCTGTGATGAGCTGTGTTTTCTAGTAGACCACTGTTGTATGGAAAAAAAAATGGAAAAATAATGTATTTGAACAAAAGTTTGAATGCCCTTGAGTGGAAAATATGCCTTACCTAACATTTTTAGATAAATACAAAACTATTTAATTTAGTTTCAGGATATTTCAAATATGTTGGACTATTTTATGAGGTCCTGGTGTTCTGAATTAGGTAAAATTTTGTAATATAGCTTTTTAGGATATAATGTCGAGAGAAGATAGGGAAATTCTGAAATAAACAAACTGTTAAATGATTTGCATTGTTCTAGTAAAAATATTTTGAAAAGGTGAAGTTTGATACAATTAGAATGATTGGCTCCTACTTTTGGGGGGGTATTCTAAATACTTTTATTAATAGTTTTCAAGAGTGGTTGAGACTAGAAACTTATTTTTCTGTGGACACTTTTGGAAAAGAGTAGCAGGTTTTTGCAGAGAAGCAAGTGAGACTGAGACCAGGATATAAGTCTTTATTGATGACCTCTTCTTGTTAGTTAAAAATGTTTTCTTGATCAGTATGCAGATTTTTGGTTCTCTTTTCATTAGTTGATAAAGAAGGAAGCCAAGGTATTTGGATCTTTTAGGAATTCCTCTTAACTGAACCATTAAAAACCTGGGCTGCGTGGGGGAAGGGTTGTTTTGGTTTTTGGGTGGGGTTTTTTTTGTTGGTTTTTTTTTTTTTGTTAGTTTGGTTGGGGTTTTTTCTCTCTTTCTTTCTGTCAGTTGCAAATCAGGAATATGTTTCTGTTGAAAGAGTAAGTATTTCTGTTAAATGCCTACATGCCTATTGCATTCTCTCTGATATCAGTGAAGAGTAAGCACACAAATAACTTGTTTAAATGGCAATCTAAATGAGATCAAATGTTTGCATATGTGAGTAGTATTTACAACGTTTGACAGATATTTCTTTAGACTAACATATGTTTAAGACAATAAGAAAAGGAAAATATTTCATTTAAATCTGTTTTTAGAAGTGTTGTTGTACTGTCTCTGTGTTATAGATAGTTTAAAAAACATTTTAGTTATTTTTAAAGTTTGCACTAGTGCCTTTAACTAGCCCCTCTAACTTTTGCAGCTGTTACACCAGTTGCAGGCTCATGTCACTTTGTAAGAAAGGCACAACCATCTTCCAGGTTGCCCTGCAAGGTTTTTTTCTCTATTGAAATTTGGGTATATCATTACATGTTTTGTTCTTAAGCTCTAATATATGTTTTTAACTTGTGTGATCAATTCACTGATACCAACATAGGCTGCTGAATTAATTATACCAAGTGATCAGCAGAAACAGACTATTTTAGATGCACTTCCATTTGTCAAAAAAACCTATTTTTTGCAGTATTTCTTTATTGGATGTGTTCAGTATATTTTATGTACATGCACCTTGAAAGTGTAGTGAGTAAAGCCTGTAAAAGAGTATTTTGAAAAATTTCTGACGTTTGATTGAACTGTGACAATTTTGGTAAATGTTGATATGCTGTTATACTCCTGTGTTTGATTGGAAAAATGTTGTCAGAGATGTCATTGCTGCAGGTTTGTAAATGCAGCTTTAAGCTTTTTCCAGTGGTCATTGTAGTATGAAGGCATATCATCACTCTTTTTGTCTTCAAAATATTATGCAGTGAGCAGTTCCAAATCCAAGGTTCAGCATCATAGTGGCCAAAAGGAGTTTTGCATTGTTCTGTGGTGAAGTACCTAATAAGTGAAGAAGAGTAGTTATGTTACTTTTTATTTATGTTAATTTTGTGTATGATCTTACTGCTTTAGCTTCTGCTACATTTGAAGACTTCCAAATCCGGCCCCATGCTCTGTTTGTTCATTCCTACCGGGCTCCAGCCTTCTGTGACCATTGTGGAGAGATGCTCTGGGGGCTGGTGCGTCAGGGACTCAAATGTGAAGGTAAGCTGCAGTGAGATGTAATTTTTCAGTCTAAAGAAGAGACTTTTCCATTCTACTTCTGTGTGTTGTGTCTAATGCTGCTTTTAAATTAGTTGGAGACAGTAAGACCTGTCAAAGGACTTAACTGATGAAAGAACTTATCTTTTTGACTGCTCTGAGGCATCTCAGATATGGCTTTGTAACCTTCAGTGTAAAAAACTTTGGTTGATATGTAGTTTTAAGAAAAGGCTGCATGTCTTACTCTTTCCTTACAATTTTTAATGAGCCTGTGTCTCGCAGTAATTCAGATTATTTAACTGAAATTACTGTCAATCCATATGAAGTTGTAATAGCTAAGTTTTCTCACTTTGCCACACCTGTTTGACTTCTGGTAGACTAAATCCAATAGAATATACCATTTGCAGTGAGACTTCCTTACCTTCCAAGTGCTGATCATGGAAATTTCCTGCACTTTGAGACCATAAATTTTGAAAAATCAGAGAAAAACCACTGGTTGTAGATGTATCTATTTGGAGCTGATAACATTGTCACTCAAACAATTTGCTAGAATAAAAGAGCAGGGTAGAGGGAAAAGTTTCATCAAATTTGAGGCTAATGGTTTTGAATTTGTGTTGTTTTTGAAAAATCAAAAATTACTTGCTTTTTTGACTAGTAAACCATAATGGGATGATTTTAAATTTCTCTTTTCAGGATGTGGTCTGAACTACCATAAGAGATGTGCATTTAAAATCCCCAACAACTGCAGTGGTGTACGGAAAAGACGCCTGTCGAATGTATCCCTGACAGGAGCCAGCACCATTCGGACAGTGTCTGCGGAGCCCTCACTCAGCGCCTCAGATGAAGCCCTTCTGGTATGGCATTCCCCAGCTGTAGAGGCCATGGGAGGAGCTGAGAAACAATGATATTTGGTGCTGTAGAATCTGGTTTTGCCTGTTACAGGCTACAGAGGAGGGTGGTATGTAAATTATAAATTAAGGGAAGGCATCTTGACGTAAAAGGGAGGTCACCCTTAAGGTATGTGGGTTTAAGGTATGTGTCACTTCTGATACTTCCAGGAGACTCCTCACTTGTCAAGAATTAGGTTATTTTTAAAGGCCTAAAGCTGCCACATGTGCTAAATAAGTAGCTGGATCTTGAAGAATCTCTTCTGGAACTAGATGTTGAATTTCTTCTGTATCGGGCCATTATTTCCCTTGGCTTATTGAATAGGAAAGGTTTGCCTCATGAGAGCACTGTGACCCAGACACCACAGCACTAAACTGGGTGTCTGTCACAGTCATGTCTGTCATTAATTAGTTGGGGCCTGTATATTTTGCATATTTCTGGGTGTTCAGAAGAAAGTGGCAGAAATCTCCATTAAATGGCTCTTTGTGGTGAATGTATTTATACGTCCGTATTTAGATGTGTAGAGGTATATATAGGTATGCAGTATACACAAAAGCACATAAATATATGGTGTACTTGTATATTCATTTATATATTAGTTTTCTGAAAGGAAAGCAAAATGTCGATTGGAGTAAATGACCTTTTTATTTTTAGCATGTTTGTTCTTTTTAGCACTCATGGTCATAATACACTTGAATAGTTAAGATTTTATACATGAATAAATGAATCCACTGCTAAGTGAAGGTTTTGAAAACCTTAAGGTTTAAAAGAGAGGAAAGAATTTATAAGTACACACAACAATTATCATGTTTTCCTCTCAATTAGAATATTAAACTTATTAAACTTGACATACTAAAAGGACACTATTGCAAATTATGTAGACATGGTGTTAGATGCAGTACCGTCTATGAACCATAATTATGTACTTATGCTACTGATTATCATTAGTCTAAAGCTACTTGGAAATTAAGGTTAACATTATGAATCTTTATTTTTAATTGAAAAGCTGCATAAATGAGTAAGGTGCTTAAGTTCTGCAAACTACAGCAACAAATGTTTACAGATTAATCATAATTCTCAGCAGGTTGTGTCAGAAATTACTTAGGCCAAGACAAAATTTTGAAGAAGACTGGCCCTAATTCTGATCTCATCTTTAAAAAAAAATTCTTAACAATATTGTATGAGTGAGCATCCTGGTATACCGTCTATAAATATTCACTTCACTGTACAGTTAAAATGTAGCAAAAAATTTTCAATTTGAAAACATTTTAAATTGTATGACTGTTTTGTTTGCTGACACATTCTTATACAAAACACCTGTTTTGCAAAGCTATATATTTCAAAATGTTTGACAGCATTAAAATTGCCAGTGAAGAGATGCAGTAAGTATTGTCCATACTGCAGGCTATACTTCTCTGAAACCTTGTAAACATTGGAGTCCCTGTGTTGATGATTCAGAACATCACACGTGCTCACACACGTGCATGCCCAAAGGAAATATATTTGCAGTAGGTAAAGGGATGGGCCTGGAGAAATCAAGTAGTTTTCTTATCTCACTTTTATTTCATGAAATCCTGGTATCATTTACCAGGTTTTTGGAAATGCTCTAACCCATGGCTTCTTCTTTTCTGTTTAGTTTTTTTTTCCTTTAAATGTATTTCCATTCCCGTCCTCCCACCCTGCTTTTTTTAATTGGCATAAGCTTTGTCAGTTCTCATGTACCAGGTCTGTCCTTTGGACTCATTTCTTCTCCAGTGCTTATGAGATAAGTTTTATGGCAGTTCATATGGTGATGCCAAACAAACCATGCACTTTGGAATGTCTTTCATTTTTCTACATACTGTGTGAATATACTGAAAAATGTCAACTTTGTTCATAAAAGTGTACCATTCATTAATAATATTGATGTGTTACTTGAATCACTGCTAACAAAATATAATCTCTGTTATAGCTATCAGTTCTTCAAATAGGACTAAAATGTATTTTTACCCTTAATTACCACATAGAGTCAGAGCAGTTGAGAAAGAATAATTTCTGGAGATCTTTGATAAAGATATAATTATCAAACTGAGTTGTTTCTTATTTTTTTGTTCGTGCTGTGTGCACCTGATAGGAGACACAGCATGTAAACCTGCCTTCTGGAAAAATAGCATGTATAAAGTGAATAAGATATGTCCTGTCTTTTGAAATTTTCTAATCTAAAAATCTTTGAGGCAGAGTAGTGTGGAATAATGCAAAATGTACCTATACTTTAATTATCCTTCCATAGGGAACCACAGAAACAGTTTAAGTTTGGGTATAAATGTTTTCATTAGCCAAAAATTGTTTCATTTGAGCTGAAAATTGAATGGGGACTGTATTTGAGTACAGCTTTAAAAATCTACCTCCAAAGAATAAAATCTTCTTTTGATTCTTAACTTAGTAGTGTAAAACTCATCAACAGAAATACTAAAAACAAAGTAGAACTAGGAGGATACAATGCAACCCAGATTTTTATGCCTCAGCTCAAATGCCGTTTTAAGCATTTATTCTATAAAAAAGAATGAGAGTATAATATGTTCCCACATTCATGCTTGTTTCTAAAATAACATTATTTTCTGTCTTTTTCTCCCCCTTATTTCTTTGTTCTGTTTTTTTTCTTCTTTCCAACTACCTGTCAGTCTCCTGTCAGCCCTGGCTATGAGGTATGTACTGAATTTACTCCCTACCATGCTATTAGCAGCATCCTCTTTTATGATTATCAGTATAAATTTGAAGGCATGCAGGAATTAAATCAGATTTCTTAAGTCCAGATTCCAAAGTGAAGATCGTAATTCTTATGCTAAACAATAAAATTAGTAAACATTAAAATATTTCAATACAAAAGTGACTTTTGCATTTGGTTGGCATCAAAGAGGTCATTGGTTAGACTGAAGCCTTATTTTATATTGTAGTAACATATGGGGAAAAAAATTGCCTTCACTTTCGGGACTTGGTAATTTGCTGGAGTAGAAAATAAACATTTTATTTTTAAGCTGAAACAAACCTCACATTCAAATGCTCACCAGCATACACCATACTACCACTGGGACAGCTCTTTCTTTCAGACTGTGGTGGAATTAATTTTTATTTTTTTTTAAATTAAAAAAAAAACCCAACTAGTGCAGGATTCTATATTTCTGTGGAAATAGCGATGAACATTGTACAAATAAGTTACAGCTCTATATAAAAAGAGTATCACGTCTAAATTAAAAAAAAAAAACAAATTTAAGTGGGTGATTCATTTCAAAGGTTGCTCTCTTTGACTTTCAGTTTGGATTTTTTAAAGAAGTTTGGTTTGTTTAAAGTTTCAAAAGCTTTTGAAACTAAGAAGTGTTGGCATCTTTCCCTTGCAGCATGTATTTGGGATACACATGTTAAAAATACTACATTTTAGAAATACAACATAGTTAGTCTGAGGAATATTTTGTTGTGCTAAAATGAAGATTTCCATGGCCAAACAACTATTTCTTTGAAATAAATAGCTTTATTTCCTGTAATCATAGGATGGCTTAGGTTGGAAGGGACCTTACAGATCCTATGTTTCCAGCTCTCTACAATGGTTAGGATCCATCTTCCACTAGAGCAGTTGCTCAAAGCCCCACTGAACACTTGCAGGGATGAGGTTTATATTTCTTCCTAAAACGCATACATTCTTACTGTGTGGCCCAGAATTCCAGCTCCATAGAATATCCATAAAGCAATACAAGCATGTATATATAAACCAGTTTTTGTAACATCTAAGATAATTGTGTTCTAAATACAGTCTGATAAAAGATGAGTCCACCAATCTGGATGATGGTGGTTTACCCGAAAGTAGCAGTAATTAAAGGTAGGTGTAAAAAAAAAGGTATTTGGAGGAAAAACAAAATTGTATTCTTCTTGTGAAAAATGTTAGCTATCTATGGTTTTGCTTCAAACTATATTTATATGACACAATAGTACAATAGTATTTTATTTCTATTTTTTAATATATGTTTCCATTATTTTGGGAAGTTTTGTGTTCTAGAAGTAACAAATATAGTAAGGTCATTTTATAAACACACTTGAAGTGATTTTTCAGAAAAAGTCTAGCTGAGCTTTGTTTTTAAAATAGGAGTGATGTGCCTCATGGGGCATAGGTAAGTGGAATGTTACATGTTATCTTCGCTTTTTGATGAAGAATCAGGATTTACAGTTCTTTTTTGCTGAATAATTTAAAATTTAAAATGTATATAGTTTTAGTTGAAAAGACTACTTTTGTATCACTGACAGAATACAAAGCACCAGGTGTTGCTTGCCTCTGTAGATTTGTTATAAGCAGAGCTGGCTTGAGGCTTTTTGGCTATATATAGAAGAGTGATTCTGCAGAACTAGGACAGTAGATGCTCTGGGAGGGAATTGCCTTAAGTCGTGGGTGGCCATTTTCTCTTTCTTCCCTCACACCCAACACTCAATAGAGATGCCCTTTTGTCTTGGCCCACTGAAATAAGGAGTCCTTGTTTCCAGTGACTCAGAAATAGCCCCTCTAAGAAGCCTTTGTTTTCCACTCTCCTACAGAAGATGCATCTCCTTTTCCAAGTTCAGTCCCTACAGTCTTGTGCAGGGACTCCCTCCCCAGCTCACTGAACTGGAAAAAAAGGCCCTTGAGGGAGGGAATGAGAAAGAGCTGGGATGTTGCAGCTGAGAGCATCTTGGTGCCTTAAACCACTTCTAATTACAAGTCCTTTTCTAATGGCTGAAGTAGAGTTCATTAGACCAAAGATCCTCAAAGGCAAAATTAATATTTTCTTTTGAAGGCACGTGAGTTAACTGTGAATTAATACTGTTCTGTTATGTTTATTCTTGTCACCCTCAAGTTATCTTTCCATGCGTCAGTGATACACACTGCATGTTCCTTGAATTGAATGGGAATTTGCTTTCATTGTGCCCATATGTTTAATAAAAACCCCTAAAGATAGAGCTCCTGGAGTTTGCTCCAAAATCTAAGAGTTTATTTTAAAATAATAGAAGGTGAAATAGAGGCTTTGAGTAATTAAACTGATTAGTGCCAGATGCATCAGGTGAATACAGGGTCATGCACTAAACAGAACTAAGAATCGAGAACTCTCAACACTTTCAGTGAATCGGACACTGAAAATTGAATATAGGAATTTTGATTAATTCCACAATCTTTTATGTATTTTTAAATTTTCTTGCCTTCTTACAATAACTTTAGATAGTTACATTAAAAGTCAAAATCAAGAAGTATTTCAAATGTAATTCTCTTGAAGTGGTGCATATCTATGATATTCAAAGTGGTACATCTAAGGAAAATTAGGAGCTAGGTTCTTGTAGTTTCTAAGTACTAGCAATATTGAAAATTGCCAAATGCTGCAGCACACATTCTACTTCCCTGTTGTATCTCTGAGACATCATTCATGATTATTTGGGTTATTGTGGATTGGTAAAAGATCCCAAAACATCATTTTGAGGAATAATGGGAATCAGCACAACCTTTTATCTCCCATTATCTGGTCTAGGTGTATTCAATGGTGCTTGCCCTCTCTTCTAATATATTATCTTGTTATTTTGTTTTGGTAACATAGTATTGCCCCCAAACTTATTGCAGGCCTCACCTAGTAGGTTTTTCTAAATCTTCTCTGTCCAGACCCAAAACTTTCCAAACCAGTGTCTATGGTTAAGCCTAAAGACAGTTGTTATGTCAGTTATCCCTGATTTGGTAAGGATGGTAAGTAGACAGTGACAGATGGGACACATTTATACAGGCATTGGGGGAGGGAAAACTCAAAGATTTTATATGGTAGGATAAATCAAAATAGTGCAAAGACTATCTTAAGGGTTTTGTATTGAACTGTAATTTGCAATTACCTTTGAGTCATCATGTGTGCTTTTTCTCCCCTTTTTATAAGCTTTGTTCAGGAAGCATAACGAAGCTGCCAGGTCTGGCTTCTGATGTGGGCATTCTAATACTGCATGATACTTCCATGGAAATAACTTATTAATTAATATACTTAAAATTATGAAGTACATGATACAAGATCAAACTAAACCTAATATTTTTTAATGAACTTGTGTCTGTAAGATGCTGGACAAAAAGCTTTGTTCTATGTAAGTCTTACTGTGGGTGCTGGTACTAGCAAATCCAAAAAGAAAGGGCTTTTATTTTGGGAACCCCCTGGTTCTGAGGAGTCAGCACAGTCCTACAATGCCTCCTGAAACCCAGTAATCTTCTATTGGTACTTTCCAAAATAAGGCAGGTTACAGACAGAGCATTCAAACCACTGTCTGCTGCTATTGATGTCTGAGTAGAAGAACAGTGTGTATAATAATAGCCATCTGTGGATAGTTTAATATTAAACAGCTTGTACCGAAGTCAGTTCTTTGATGTGTTTACACATGGGAAAGTGAAATGTTTTTCAGACCATAGCTATCTAACTGTGGTGCTTGTGGGATTAAATCATACACTTGACTTGGAGAGGAGTGCAAGAAGCCTTGAAAGACAACGCAGTTGATTGCAGTCTAAGTGTGGTATTTCAGTATATTTAACTGAAGATTTGTTTCTTTGAATTCACTTAATTGCAGTCACATAGTTTAATTTGTAAAAGAAAGTCAACATTTGCATTGCATTAAAAACAGAGTTCCTGTGGTTACATAGATATCTAGCAGCTCACTTGACAGTAGCTTCCTGTGAGGAAATTGTGTGTGAACATATTAAGGCTTTATCCTCTGCCTTTAATATGGGAAGGAAATGCATGTTTCAACAAGTCTGTTTCAACACTAAAAATGAAACTTCATCCAATCAGTTACTGCTGTTTGTTTTTTTTTTAAATAGACATCAGTTTTCTCTGTTGTCCAAGTAAATAAAAATCCCTAGATTGTAAAAATTTATTCTTCTGTTGAGGCAAACATTTCAATATTGTAGGAATACTTTTGTTATTTTTGATTGAATATCTCAGTGTGAACTACAGGAATAATGTTGCAACACCTCTTAGATGTTGAGCCTGCAAAAGGTTAGCACTTCTTCGTGTAAGTTTTGTTAAAAAACCAAATATTTAGTAGAGTATAGGTTGTGTGGCCTGATCTCTTCTGAGTGAAGGTTACTGACTTGAGCATGTTTCCACAAGCACGATTGCCAAAATGGAAGCAGTTGCTTTCTGACTCTTACAGAACATGAAGGTTTTGGTAAAGCTTTTCAGAATCCCTGGGATGTATTTAGTGGGACTGTCAAAACCTTTTAAAAGGGGTGAGGCAAACAGCAGTCTCTCTTACGTTTTAGACTAGTCCATGCAGCTGGATTGCAGAGCTGTCTTTGTCCTTGTTCCCAAGAGCCCAATGGGTCCAAGCAGTCAGCTTTTATTGGTTCCCATTAGTCCCTTCAGCATCTCCCTACAGTTTCTTTCACTTCTGTGCCTGGAAGGAATTGATGTGAATGCTGCATGATGGTCAAACTCATCCAGGTAATAGGAACAGCTTAATCCATATATAAGTCAGTACTTATTTCAGTTTCTTAATTGCAGTGTAATTTTGCAGTGTATTTGGACAAGGTAGAAAAGACAGGAAAGATCTGCTGCGCTATTTTTACCTTTGGGGGACTGTCTTCTTTCTGCAATGACTGTACAATGATTTTGGCTAATGTAGACAAATTCTGGCTGGCTAATGTAGACAAATTGTTGTGCCTTCTAGTAGCTTTCAACAAAGCTCACCAGAACTCACATGAGGGGTTTCAATATATTCCAAAAATTCAAAGAAATTGAACAAGAAGATGAAGAAGTAAGCCATCAGTTAAATAAAAGTCATGGGGAATGCCCCATGGGGGGGAAAAGATTGGCACATCTGCCTTCTTGGAATTAAAAAACCAAAAAAACCCTAAACGTTTTCTTTTTTTTCCCCCCAAAGTAAGAGTAAGCAAACTGGATTCTATTAGATATTGTCACAGTTAAAACATTACTGAAGTGTCTGGATGTGATCAGTGTCACTGGGTTAGTTGGACAATCCGGTATTCAGTATATGCACACATTTCTTGGTGTTTGTTGTCACTTGAAAAATCATACTCTTGAGCTCTTAAAGTATAGATTACCTTGCTGGGATGATTGTTCTAAAGGACTATTTAGCATTTGGAACTGTGCAGGCTGTTAGTTTCCATGGTGTAATCTGGTTAAGCAATCATTTCCTGGGAAGTTTCCAGACTTGCTGAGTCAGTAGTCTGGCTGGCTACCAGGAAAAACTCATTTATCTTTCTAACAAACCAGGCACACCAGCTGAAGAAGGAGGTGCTTTGTGGAGGAGATTCTTGCTTTTCCAGTGAAAATAGTATACTTCCTGGTTTCCTATGCTTTCAGGGGCTTAACATTGTGGCATCTGATGCTGGGAGTGCTGGAAGTTAGAGTTGAGAGATCTTGACAGGACTTTCAGACCGTGTTGGGAGGAGAAGCTTATCTGGCAAGAGAGAGGAGGTGCTCCACCTAATCAATCAGTCATCAGAGGGTGTGGGAGATGCTCCAGCTGCTGCTGCCATGAGTTATCTGTCAGCAGCTTCCCTTCCCCTGCTACCTTTGAGTGGGACCCAGGGGCACATTGCCTCTGGCTGCAAGAGGGAGGGAATGGAGTCAGGCATATCAGGACTGGGCATACAGGAGTGAGACCAGATCCGTGAATTCTGATGTCTCTTCTAGCATGGGAGAAGGTGAAACTTGGCTTTACCTCTTGACCTTAAGTCACTGTAAGTTGAGAATTGCTGGTGCCTTACAAGGTGTGCTACGGTGCTGCCATGTAGCAGCCCAGCACTTGTGGAATGGCAAAGGAAAGCTGAAATACTTTTCTCTATAAATTTGACTTGAAGACTGACATCTAGCAGGTTTTCCAGAGTTTTATGTTTTGTTTAGTATCCATTACTGCTTGAGCTGTGGAGAACTCTTATGAATTACTAACAAAAGCTTAGTTATTTGTCTGTTCAGGAACACAACTTCGCAGCCATGTGAAATGAGACTTCAAGTAATTACTTCAGAATTTATAACTGTGCATTGACTAATACAAATTTTGAGAAAAAAAACCCTAGCAAACAGCACAACAAAAGCTTTATTAATCATAACTATTTGATCAAGGCTGATGGTATGATGAGTAACTGTTTCAGAGTAATCTCAGAAACAATCAACTCAATGTAGAGCATCTAGAATTCACTTTTTGTTCAACCTGATATTTTCTCAGAAACATATACTAGCACATTAAAACTGAAAAATTTGCCATCAATCTGAGCAAAAAAAAGCAAATAGTTTGTCCCATACTTGTACTGTACCACACTTGAGATTTGATCAGACATCTAGGTCAGAGCCAAAGCTGTAGGGAAGACCGTCTCTCTCTGTTAATCACAACTGCCCAAGATTATTCTCAGTACATTTCAGCAACACTGCTGAAGTTTCTAAAATCTGCAAGGCATTTGGTGAGGAAAACAGCCAAACCAATTTTCTAAAATCCTTTAAACATGAAGCCACCTAGGTATAAATAATTTGGACTTTGCAGTATTCGATTGCCAAAATAATTTTTGATTAGGCAGTAATTTGGAAAATGAAGACAAAGAGTGATCATAGAAAATAGGTTTAATTTAGATTATATTAGTCGGGATTCTAAGAGAGATTATAGGATTAGGAGATATTTGGATCACTTTTACTGCAGGGAAGGGTAAGTTTGTCAAGAAACCGCTCTAGTCATAAGAATGGTAAACTGAAATATTAGTTTGTTGCAGTGGCATGATGAAAGCAATCATTAGAACTCTTTTCCTTACATAGTCTCACTCCTTTTCAATTAAACTTCATTTTAAGAGACTAGCATCGCTACGTGTCCACCAAATGTCCATTGCAAGTAGTGATTAGAAGTAAGAACCCTTTAGGATTTTTTTATTCAAAAAGAAAATATCTACATTAAATTGTAGTATGTCACAAGTAAAACTCTTCTTGTGGACACTGAAGAGCAAACTCAGGGCTAACTTTCTGGTCATAGGGTAGTGTTGAGGCTGTAACTTGTAAGGCACTGAACTAGAACTATGAGGTAGCATCAGTCTGGACCAAAATTGTTTCTATTCTACACAGGTGTAAAACTCTGAGAACTGCATTTCTGTTTCTCACTGCTCCTTGTGAGCTTTGCCCCATCCACAGACACTGAGGGCTGTAATTTCCAGGCAGCTGCTACTAGCTGAGCAATGCAGTTTGTGCAGAATATGTGGCTCTTTCTTCTGTCCTGATGGTCTTCTGCCTTCCATTTTGCAGCCTGTCCATGCTGACTTCATAAAACTTAGTGCAATCTGCCTTAGAAATATTAGGCAAATTTTATTAGTAGGTAATAAATATGGAAGAAATTTTATCTCAAATTGAGACTAATTAATCGTTTGGATTTTTTAAATATGCACAAGTGCTTTGCAGAGCATGAAGATTTAAACCTCAGGAAGTAATAAACCCATAATATCAGAGTATGTACTCAGAGTTTTCCCAATTTTATTTGTGATAAAGAAAAGACAGATGCTTTCTTTCAATCTAGTTTCTTTGTGGTGGCCATATGTACCTGGCTCATACAATGTATTTTGCATATTTTTCCTTTATTTGAAAGGACTGTGTTAGTACAGTGGATCTTTATGCCTCTTGGAAAAGACACCTAATTCTACAGTATAATCAAAGAATTCATCTTTGCAGCAAGAAATCTTTATGAACTTTGTAAGGAAGAAATTTTTTTTTTCCCCATGGCAAATACACTGTGAACGCAAAGCCGGAAACTAACTCCTTATGTGGTTCTACCATTAAAATGGCTTCTGAATTCCTCTCTACTCCAAAAGATAGAAGCATACAAAAATGTATTTCTCTATATTTTCATGACTGGGAAATAGTAATCAGATGGAGGAATTTCTATAGCATTATGTGTTTGAGTCTGAGCAGTGTTTCAAGTTAATGTCTACGTGAAGCTTCATCTACTACAGTATTTGAACAGTGCAGGCTCACCCTGAGTGATTTGTTTTCTGGTGTTCAGTTACCTGATTATTTGTGGGTGATAATGAGAAGGTGTTTTAAATAATCAAGCTGTATTTTCTCTTTTTTTTTTTTTTCTCCTTTCAGTGTTAATTGTGGGTGTAGTTTGGTTGTTTCTCAACAGCATGTATTAGAAGAAAGCAGTTTTCTAGGCGAGTTGTTTTCTGGGTTAATTATCATAAGTACATCTAAGTTTAATAGGGAAAATATGGTAACTCATTTATTCCAGAAATTCTTTGTATTTCATGCCTTAAACTGTGTGTCTCACAAATATATATATATATATATATGCACACAGACACAGATACACATATATATATATATATATATATACATAATAGGTATTTAAAAGGGTGTGTGTGTTTATATACACACACACGCCTTTAAATACCTGTTGTGATCTATTGTGCAAAATCTAAATGTAGTAAGGTTAGCAGTAGCAAAAATCATAAATAGTTTTTCTGTCATTAGCCTGCATGCATACTGAATAATGTAATAATTTTTTAATGTTTATACAAAAAATACAGCCTTCAAAAGTTTCTTTTGATGTAAAATAGAAAATAAGAGGTTAAAATATTTTTTATCAATGTAAAATGCTTTCCTAAGAAATTTTGGTGAGCATTTTAATTGTGATTATTTTTTTTTTTAAAAACTCTGTTTCACTCACAACACAAAGTATATGATAGTAGTGTTGGCAAAGGTGTTCAATAGCATCCAAATTTTTCAAAAGCAGTTTGAGAGAGGCGTGATGCATGTTTTATTAGTGTTTAAAGGCACTTAGATGACTTTTTATGACATATGACAGTGTTATTGAAGAGAGGGAATATATGAATATGATATTCTTTACAAAATGAATACAAAACTCCTTTTTATGTATTTTACAGCAAAAGACACCATCAGAATCATATATGGGGCGAGAGAAGAGGTCGAATTCACAGTCCTACATTGGACGGCCTATTCAACTAGACAAGATTTTACTGTCTAAAGTTAAAGTGCCTCATACTTTTGTCATCCACTCCTACACACGTCCAACAGTTTGCCAGTACTGCAAGAAGCTTCTCAAAGGGCTTTTTAGACAGGGTTTGCAGTGCAAAGGTAAGTAAATGTTCTTTAGGAACATAAAAGCTAAGCATAATAAAGTTAATGAATTAGTGTTTGAGTGGTTACTATGTAGCTTTATTCATGATTTCCTCACTAAACTGTCTGCGTGTAGGCACATGTACAATTACACTGGATTAAGCTGCAGTCAAAATTACAGTAATTGGTGTTCTGTAGGAGCTGGCTGCGTGGCTGATCATTCTTACCCTTTGGTGTATGTGCAGTAGCTCACATTTTTCATTCAGGTGTAAATGATCTTGTATTTGGCATAGGGGAAGCTGTGCTTACAGCAGAATAGTTAACATAATGGACTATATTCTTATCTTCATTGTTGTTGATCTACCAAGTCCTGTGTGTAAATTGAAGAAGCATAAGCCTGAGCCTCAGCAGCTCAGTGCTTCAGGGAAGTTGTAATGGAAGTAAAATACGATGGGGTTATATGAGAATTTAAACCCACATTTTTTCAGTGTGACTAACGTGCTCTCAAGTGTCATGACATTGTATACCTTAGTAGGTGCTGAAGTGAGTCAGGCCCCTTGGATTGCTGGCTCACCTTGGCCAGCCTTAGCCTGTAAATACAAAGCATTGTGCATGTTATGGGGTTGGAATGGTGGCTAATGGAGGCTTAAAATCACCTTCCTGCTATTACAATAAATAATAACTATCATAAAATTAATCAGTATACTTTGTGCTACTTCTTTAAACCCTGCAAAATTCAAAGTTGCATTAATTCAACTTAAGGTGTGATTCTGATGCAATTTAACTAAAATAAAATATCTATCAAAGCATCACCTATTTCAGTTCATTTTGAATCCTGGTGATCTAAGCAAATATTGACCTAATTTTAAAAAAATTAATATTTATCTGTAGTTTGGCACTCCTGTACCTCTAGTTGGTGTTTGGATCAATCTTAAATAATTGCAAGGTATGGACAGCCTTAGAATATCTTTTTCTTTCTGTCTTTCATTTTCCTGGTGTGTTAGTAACTTACAGCTCTTAGTTTAAGTAAAATGTGTTCATACGATGAAAGAAAACAATTCCCATGACATATAATGAAGTGCTACTTACACATATGAAAGAAGTAAAAAAAAAAAAAAAATTGAAAAATAAGGAAGGGAATGAAGGAACCCATAGTTGGAAGGTGTCCAGAAGCTGCCTTGTGATGTAAAAAACAAAAATTTTCTCACTTAAAATTGTTGGCTAGGGTTCTCCTGTTTCAATTTTCAGTCATCAGTATTTCCTATGTAGTCAGTTCCTTAAACTGCAGCTGATACACTGCAGCCCACTCTGCTTCTTTCACTGGAAAGGCAGCTCTGGCTTTGGAGCCAGGCACTTGTGTCTCCTCATCACTTGCCTAGATGAGCTGAGCACCACTTTGGCTGCTGTAGTGCTGCTGCACCCAGCTACCCTTGGAAAGACATTTTTTCCCCTCAGAAATGTGTTTCTAGCATCTTCATCCTGCCCCTTCCCCTGCCAGGCAGCATGGAGCCGGGCTAGTGCACACTCTCTGAACATAAGACTCGTATTAGTGAAATGATAGGGCCTAATAGCTATAGGCTGGGTAGCAGGGGAAATATAATTGTGTCACAGAAAAAGAAATAATTTGGCTGTTTCCCTTTTTCACTTATCAGACTGTAGATTCAACTGTCACAAACGCTGTGCTCCGAAAGTGCCAAATAACTGCCTGGGGGAAGTTGCCATTAATGGAGGTAAGTTGCATTGACAGTTGTTCCTGTCATTGTTTAAACCATCAGTTAAACAAAAGAAATGTAAAACTGTGATGTGTACAAACACACATTTTTCCCTTGCTTGGGAGTGGCCTTTCCTCTGCAATATTTCTGTTGTATGTCGAAGATGAAGTGTGGGAGGAATGCTGCGAGTAGCTCTCATACACCATCCTTTAGGAGGGTTTCTTGCAAATAGGTGGCACTGGCAGACAGGCTAAGCTCTGCCACAGAGGTGATGTCAGCAGCAAAATGGCCCCGTGATAACACCTGGTAAATGCAGAATGCTAGAGGAAAGCCAAGCATGTGAAAAGTTGGCGCTCACCTGTTTCTTTTATTGGGAGTGGAGAAAAAAGTGGTTATGGATGATCTTCCTGAGAAGGAAAAACATACCTAGAAGAGCTAGGAATGCCCTTCAGAAAAAAAAATCCACCATTCACTGGTGGCATAAAACTAATCATACCAGTTGCCACAAATCAGGTCTTGACTATCTGCTGATTTTCCCATGCATGTGCTGCTGGTGTTTGAGTTATGTATAAGGGTGTGTAGGTAGGCTTGACAGACAGTACTGGAGAAAAAGGAGTGGCTGTAGATGAGTTTTTGACTGCCTTGAAAATGTCACTTTCCTGTGTGATAAGGGAATGAGAAGTGTGGTGAAGTGCTCACTTTCTAATGTATATTACTGTAATGTCAGCCTGAACTGCTTCTGAGGTTAACTGTTACCTTATGATGCCTTCTTTTTCCTTTAAATCAGTGGTCTACTTTATTGAAGACATATCAAGAAATTCCAAAATTAGGAACATTAACTAATATTTTTCACAGTATTTCTCATAGTAGTGTTACTGTATCACTATGAAGTTTTTATGTTTAATAGGAAAATTCCTACAGGTACTAAGTATTCCACTTGAAATGTGACAAAGTACATTATTTTATGGAAAGCAGATGATGTCTTCCTGTTGAATGTCATTTCTGATGCACCTCTCATTGGATTCTTGGAGTCACTGTTTTTTTTTCTTGTTTTTAGTCTTGCACCATTTATACCTCACTTAGCCATCAACCATCCCACAACACAACTATTTGTTCAGGAGCGCAAGTAATGTTGCTAATGGAAATTTGTGGTTTGGTTTTCAAAAACTAAAATATACACTATGAAATGTTAATTCCATTAATAGGAGTTTAAAGTTTGCCCTGAGATTTGTAGTCAGAGAAAGTAACTAAATCTGCTCATAAATGATAAACTAAAGTGCTGTGAAAAGACAGGAAGGACCATAAATTTTGTTTCTGCACAGTATAACTAAGTGAACAAAATTTGCATTTGTTTCTGAATTACTCCTCCAAATTCCCCCTTTCCATTTGAGAGAGGTGTATTTCGTCCCTACAACACACCCCCTCTGCCCTCTCCCCACCTTTGCTTCACAAGCAGCACGCTACTTTTGTTTTGTTTCCTCCTGACACATGAATCTGATGCTGCGCTGATGGGAAGTGATAGTTTGTCTCAGGACAGCTTGTGCAGTCACTTGGGGTGAGAACACATATTCTGGGCTTATTCTAAGTATATTCCTTGAAGATTGCAATCTTAAAATTTATAGAACTTGACTTTTATACACCAAATAATATTCTTAGTATGGTATACATAGAATCCTCATAGAACTCTGAATTGTGTGTCCTGAATGATTGATAGAGGGTCCCTGTGATTAGCAAAGGCAATTTTATCTTGTATCCCATTAGTATTTCCTCAGTAATTGGGTTCACATTATTTTCAAACTTAATAAACAAAATACAGTATCTGTCATTTTGTCCATCTGCTGTGTGATGCAACTTCCCTAAAATAGTAAGTGAAAGAAGAGTTGAGTAATGAAATTTCAAGTGTGGTCTCTTTAGTAAATGCATTATATACAAAATGTAAGGAGTTATTTTTAACTGATTGTAAGTTTATTAAAAATAGATATTTTAAAAGTGTTGTAGGAATAACAAAGAGAGAGAGAGCTTTGCACTGTGGAGTATCATTTATGACTGAATGACTGGTTCTGCTAGAGATGAAGTGTGTGTCTCTTAATCACACATCAGTAGTTTATTTCCAAATATCTTAAGACTAGCACATGAAAACAAACTTTTCTGATGTGCCCTTCTAATTTCAATGAAATGCCATCAATTCCAATCATTTTTCTGTCAGACAATTCAATGTGCTTCTTCCTGTGTTACATTGCCTACACTGGCTGTCAAGAACCTTCCTCCACACAATTTGGCAAAAGTTGCTAGGAGAAACTATTTGATGTGTTCCATGTGATCTTAACCTAAATTCAAATTTCTGAAACATTGCAACATCCCAGAGAAAGCAATGCTGTCTTTACCTTCTGACTGGACTAATGATTTTATACTCCAAATAAATCCATTCACAAGCAACAATGCAACAAAAAATTGTTTCTTACTCTGATCTTGCTTGGGCATATTTAATTTGGAAAAAGGAAAGTTAAATATAATTTAAATGTAAGATGGATGGTGCTATTAATGCTATGCCATAGTCAAATCAGCTAAACCCTATTACTGTAGTTTTGGTGCTTGTTTAGTATTTCTTTTCTAATGGCAGGGAGCACCGTTTCAGTGATATTGATAATTGTGCTTTTTGTGCAGGCTTCACAGAAAACTCTGTTCCTGTGCAAAGGAATATACAGTTCACGTGATAATTAATTGTCTACCTATATTGTCTAGATGCAGGCAATAGACTTCCAAGAGAACTTGAGTTTTTTGGAAGCTCAAAATGTGCCAGGATGTTGGAGTATCACATGCTTTTAGATAATAACTTGAGAAATGGTATTCCAGACCTTCTTAGTCCTGGGGCTGAGTCTGATGTGGTCATGGAAGAAGGGAGTGATGACAATGACAGTGAAAGAAACAGTGGCTTTATAGATGACATGGAAGAATCTATGGCTCATGATTCAGAGATGTCAATGACAGGATGCCATAGTGACAATGGAGAAATGCAGGATGCTGATCTGGATCACGATGAATCTAACAGGATGATCAGGTGAGCTGGGCAGTGAGTGTTCCTTCCATCTTCCTTTGTATTTATTTGTACAAATCATGTCTAGGGCTCAAGGGGGAATGTACACAGTCACTGTTCTCACTCATTTAGAATGGGAATGCTGGTGAAATGTAGTGAGACTGCTTCACTGATTATATGCATTTGTATTTCAAGAGAAGCTTTATTGTCACGTTGAAGTGGCATTTGAAAACTTATGCAAAAATAGTTCTTACAGGTCTGTTCTCATATGAAAATGATGTGAAACTATTTGTGCATAATTACTAGCAAAATATTTACTTATTGTTTACTTAATTTCCAAGGCATTCTTTCCCTGGTTTAACAGTGCAATGCCTTGACATTTAGATTAAGTGGCTATGGTATAATTGGATCTAGATTTTTGTATTTTTAGATGCCTTTATTAAAAAGGAAAGTTTGACAAACTTAAAGTAGTAATTTGAAGCAAGTTAAAAGATAGATTAGTGCTTTGAAATGACTGTTCAGGAAAGAAAACAGGAACTGAGTTGTGCAATGTACCTCAGAAGTGAATTAAGAAGAAACATTGACTTATTGGAACTGTCCAAATAATATGGAAAAAATAGGGATTATTCCTTATAATTAATGAGGCACCTAAATGAGGAACATAAATGAGGAAATTTAGTGAACCTAAAATGAATTAAGGAAATTTCAACTGTAATTTCCTTGATGCAAGGGATCTATAACTTATAAAACATTTTTCTTTAACATGTCTGTTTGACTTGCAATTTCCTCTTTTATTTTGCTTGTTGGGAGTCACTCTTAGTAATATGTTCTTATTTCTTATTTATGTTCCCATATTTCTGTGTTGCTGTCATACACCCGTTGCCCTAATAGAAGGCAATCCATTTCAACAATATGCAGTTTTACTTCATGCAGCAGTAGTGCTTCCATATTTATCTGCATAGATAGGTATGATATATGTATGATGTATAGACACCTTGTAGCATTGCAATATGAGCCTGTGCTTAGATCACTAAATCATTGTCACAGAACATTGTAAATTTGCAAGTTTTATGAAGCAGACAGCATTGCAAGTTTTCAAAATTAAAACACCCAATTGTGCTAATAAAGCATTTATGACTAAGGTACATGTAAGAGAGATTCCTCCAGCAATACCTCTCTGCACTTATTTCTAAGGGTAGTTTCTGTATCCATGGATATTTTTTAAGTGATCTATATAAGGCAAATAAAAAATAAACCTCTTGTCAGCACAGACAAGAATAGCTGAATAGAAACTGCAGATGGTTAAATCATTTTTAGGCAGAAAAGAGATATTAAGTATATGTTATATACTTAATTAAACTTTCAGACAGTGCTTTCTGCATTTTGATGGGAAACTACCAATTCATAAAGCTTATTTCCAGGATGCATTACAGCGAAGCAGGGCCACCTGCAGACATCTACAGTCATAACAACTTTGGGAACTTTACATATTAATTCTTTTCATAACCACTATGAACCCTTTTTTGTTGGAGTTGTTGCACCAATAGCTTTGCTAGCAGGGCATAATACAGAAGCAGTGCTGTGCTCTGTTTTCACAATGCAGCATCACTGTTTAAATTTCTGCCAGAAACAGCCAATTATTCATGTCTAGGACTGAGCAGATTGAGTCCATATTCCATTACACAGAATCTGCTTTAGGAGTTGCTAACTCTAACAGCAAGGATGATGGGCTAGGTTGCCTCTGGTTGCTACCAGATTTTATCTGCTGGTGCTGTCAGGCTTGCTGTCACATTCCCATGGCTTCCCAGCTTGCTGTGTGTTGGCTGAATGGTGGAAAGTTGCAGTGTGCAAACCCTACCAAGCAGTAGGGTTTCACCTTTAGTCTTTGACCGTAGAGAAGCTTAAATCTCTTTCTCTGAGAGGTTCCAGCAGATTCTCTGCTGTGCCTGGCCAGGGTGTGTGCAGCTGGGCAGCTGATTTGTTTTCTACTCTGTAAGGTGGCATCACTCCATTGTGTGTTTGAGCCCAGGCAAGATCACAGGACAGTAATCTGATGGACAGTGTCTGTGTAGGTTATGAGAGATTCAAGATCAAGTACTGCTCTGAATCATGCATAGCACGAGCTTGAGCAGTGCTCCCACAGCCTAGCTAAGGCCCTTAGTCATTTGCCCATTTTCTTAGCTCATCTTTAGAAATATTTTGGAATAGTGTATGTAAGCCTTCAGAAGGTCTCTGACGTTCCCTTGGTGTAGCATTACAGCCTTTTTTCTTTATAATCTCAAGATAATTTGAATGACAAAACAAAATAGTGTACAAGCCAGGTTGGCTAACAATGATAAAAATAAATGTGGGTATTTTCTATGTGTGTACATGTATACATGTATTCTGATTTTAAAGGGTTTTTTTTCTTTCTGTCCAAAGTTATCTTCTTTTTAAAAGCCTTTAATGATTTATTCTTAAGCCCTTCAACCAGCAACAATATTCCATTAATGAGAGTGGTACAGTCTGTGAAGCACACAAAAAGGAGAAGTAGCACAGTAATGAAGGAGGGTTGGATGGTTCACTATACAAGCAAGGACACACTGGTAAGAAATGTTACAGAAGACCTGTCTTCCAGTAAATGTTATGTTGTAGTATGGAATCAAATTCTAACAATACTCAGACAATTTACAGTCACTCATGTAAGGCATTTTTTGCAATTTTTATATTTTCTAAAGTCCCAATACGTACCATAACTGGGACTGGCACTGCTTGTAAGAACAGGAGACAGTTAAAACATGCAAAAACCATCTAAATAAATCTGTTGCATTATCATAGGCAGCCAAATGTAAAATCATTCTTAAGGAAGTGAAACCTAATGTTAAGGGGTTCTGTAAAGTAACTTTACTTTCCAGCTGCAGTTTCTCTGATACCTTACTGCCAGTTGAATCGAGACTTTTGTAAAGTAGGTTTAGTGTAGAAAAAGGCTATTTTCATCCTAACCTGCTAAAAAATGAATAAAGACTTCAGTATGTGACCTTCAAAATTGAACTAGGGTGTTAGAAGGGATAAAAGAAGAAATTTCAATTGCATTAGGATCATGCATATCAGCAAATTGTGCTGAATGTAACGCAGACAACAGAATGACATTTTAAATTTTTAAAACTTGTACAATTTCAACACAGCTATTCCTGAAACAGCAGAGCATAAAAAGAGGTATTAATTCTAAATTCAATTAGAAAGTTTTCATTAAAATCTTGTAATAGTAATTGGGTCTTTTATCATTCACAGTACATCTCTTCAAACTAAGGAAACATTTTGACAGTGGTGCTTTTGCAAAATGAACGTTTCATTAATTTACTTGTTTTTCACTGCAGAGAAAGCGACACTACTGGAGGCTGGACAGCAAATGCATTACACTCTTTCAAAATGATACTGGAAGCAAATATTACAAAGTAAGAAATACTTTTCCACCTCTTTTCATACCAGCAGAATATCAGGACTAAATTACTAAATTGATGCTTGCTAAAAGTACAATAATAGTGTAACTTCTATCTAGGTTTTGGTTCTTTGTGGTTTTTTTTTAATTATTTAAGCTGTGTACGTGTGTTTTGCTTTTCAAAACAAGTCTGATCAGAAAGGTATCAGCTCACAAGGACCTATAAGATGTGTGTTGTGGAAATGAAAAGTTTTTGTCTGAGAAGTCAATAAGGTTTTATTTTCTAAAGAAGTTTTCTTAATATATGGATGGCCCTGCTTTTTCTCTGAAGGTACCTCTCTACTCTCTTTGATAAGTTCAGTTAAATAATTAAAGTTCTATTTAGTCTTGGAAAGAAACATTTAGGATTTTACCATCAACAGTTGTCTGTGTCACAGAATTTCAGGTTACAAGAGGCTTTTTGTTTGTACAAGAAGCATGTGGTGAAAGGCAACAACCGATATCATAAGCTAATCAAATAAAGCTCATGCTGAAGTTCTTTATGTTGATAATCTTTGCACAGAAAGTAAAATATTTTTTTCATTTTAGGAAATCCCATTGTCTGAAATTTTGTCTCTGGATCCTGCAAAAACTTTCACTTTGCTGCCTCAAGGAGCCAATCCTCATTGTTTTGAAATAAGCACAGCAAATATAGTCTATTACGTTGGAGAAAACGTGGACAACCTCTCAAGCGTTCCGCTGAATAACAGCGTTATCAGCAGCGGTGTGGGCGTCGATGTGGCGCGGATGTGGGAGATGGCCATACAGCACGCCCTGATGCCCGTCATCCCCAAAGGGGTGTCCTCTGGGTCAGGAGCCAGCCTGCACAGTAAGTCTGCTCCTTTCCTCCCTTTCTCATAAGGAGAATCACCTCTCTAATGGCATGGCTCAGTCCTCTGCACACCTTGGAAGGATGCATTGCACAGCTGGTAAAGGCTATTCTGTCATGGGTTGTCACCTGTCTTCCATATTTTAAACACCATGATTTCTCATCCATGTGTTTTCAGTAGGACATCTGTATTGATATACAAGATGTAGATATTCTAGTAAGCAAATAGTTATGTAATTAGAAAGGCTTCTAATTCAAGTTTATGTTGTTGGTGTGAGGAATAGCCTCCTTGTGCAGAGGGATGAAATTTTCTGAGCTCCACTTCAGAGCTGATAGATTTTTTTTCTCATCCTGACTGTAATTTATGTTTCTAGCCTTCTGCAGAAGCAGCTCTTCTGTCTTTAGGTCACTGCAGCACAGATTATATGCTCCCTTTCATCATATTTGGCTGTACAGCTGCCTCAAGCATTGTCCCAGGCTGAGATGAAAAGAGCTCAAGTGCGAAGAACAGCTATTCTAGGCACAAGGCATGTGTGTTATCCAGGACCAAAAGAACTGAATAAATCTTAGCTTCCAATTTACATACCTTTGTGTAATTTTCTAGCAATGGTGACAGTTTATGTAAACCAAATATGAGACCTGTTTAAATCTGTCTTGGGTACTGATAATAAAGTAGCACAGAGCAAACAATTCCTCACCACTAGCCGTGTGCTGCTGTGGTTGCTCTGTACTTCTGTTCAGCCTAGTGAGTGTAAAGAGAATTTGGATATGTCTACATAATTTGGATTAGACCTTTTGTTGCAATATGCACCCACTTTAGCACTTGACATCTGGATGCTGTTAATGCAGCACAAATGCTAATGAGACCACAAGCCCTTCAGGAATCAAGTAATACAACAGGCTGTGGCATTGCTTCTCCAGGCACAAAAGCTCACACATCAGATTAGATCAGCAATGTCCTTTGCTTTCTGAAATGGGATCTTGTATAAAATAGTGTCAAATTCTGGATGTCATTTCTGTCAGACTAGTTGCCTAGTGCCCCTGGTTTGAGTCTGCTGTAGCTAAACAAATCACCAAAAATGCTGTACTGGGCATGACAGCTGTCTTATCTCCCTCTTGGGAAGTTTGAAAAATTTCTTTATAAGTTAGTAGCTGTCTTTGGGTTATATGTGCAAAAATTAAGGTTGTTTGAGACCTTTAGAGCAATTTCTTGTGGACGATGAGAATGATAGCAACTATCTTTCTTTTGCTCAAACTCTAAGACTTGACTTTGTCCATGCTTTTTTTCATGTAAACACAGCAGTACATATATTTGAAGACAGATTGGCAATGATTAAAAGCCTCTCCATAACTGAAACTTTCTATGCCAAAAGCACTCCTTAAGGAAAGGGAATAAGCCATGTTACTCATGTTACTTACAGCAACTAGAATTAGTGCTGATGGGAAGTAGCAAGTGTCTTCAGTGTGTAGTATAGGCCTTATAGTAGGGGACACTGTTTTGAAATTTTTACTTAAACAAATGGAAATTCAGCATGAATGGGATTCTACACAGAAGTAGGGGACAGAAGTGACCGTGCTCCACAGAACCATGCTTTCCTTCCCAAAGTATTGTCTTTGTGTAATGCAGTTAGCAGTAGGCATATGCTGAATTTTGCCTCAGTAAGTTTGCAGTTCAAATGCTTATGACATGCTTATAACATCCTAAGCTCCACATTGATAGAAGTTGGATCTGGTGTTTCTTTTCCATTCTTTTTTACAATGCAGGTGCAAGGTTTTGTTTCCATTATGTCTGTTTTAATTTTTAAGTTTTAGTAATGTCTATTAAGCCAGTTGAAATGTGTATTACTTGTAACAGTATGCAGGCTAATTTGAATGTGTATTTGCCTTCATCTGAATATCATCAAATATGTTGTAGGTGACTAAATAAATTAAAATTGTTATTAAATCCCTAAATTAAATCACTAAATGAAACCAGTTTAGTTGCAGTTGTTACTTGGGTGCATCCTCAAAATAAAATGGGAAAAAGCAGTAAGAAGCTTATTATGAGACTTGACTATTAAAAAAATTATTAATGGATTGTATAATTCTGGTTTTTCCCCACACTGCAAAGCTGTTGTTAAATTCATGTGTTTGTGGACTGGTATAATTTTATATTAGCTGGTAGACAAATGAGCTGACCTAATTGGTCCAATTTCTAGAGCTGTCAGCAGATACTGATGTAATATGAATGTCATTTCCTATTACTACATGTTTGAACTAAAAGCACAGCAATCTAAAGTATACTTTGCTTTCTTCCCCAGGGGATATATCCATCAGTATTTCTGTGTCAAACTGCCAAGTCCAAGAAAACGTGGTGAGTGTTCTCTTGATGCTGGTGCTAGACATGCTATTATTAAGCTGGCAAAGTCATTGATCTGATTTTCAAGAGGAGTGTTAGGGGAGTTCCCATGAGCCAATTCTCATTTACTTTGAAGAAATTAAAAACAATTAGCTTTTTTAACTTTTGACAAAAACCATCTTCACAGCACCTTTTCTCGAGATGCAAGAATTATGTGTGGGTAATTTCACAGGCTTTAACTGTGGGTCTGTGTAGGATGTTAATTACCAAATGGAAAAGCGAGGTGTAGAAATACTGGTTCATGGAATTTGTCAACTGAACTTTGTAAAACTGACCACAAAACTTGATAAATATACCATTTCCTGTCATAACTGAGAGATCAGATATTCTGTGTTGTACAAAGATGAAACTCTATGTATGCAAAGGAAGAGTTGCATACAAATATCAAAACACAGAGAATTCTGGGTTTCTTTTACTCTAGGACAGTTAGACATAGGTCATGTAGCAAAGTTCAGCAGTCACACTGCTTGCTTTCTATCTCATGGCAGATGAAAAAAATAGATTCTCCCTGCAGCCAGCTAAAGCTTTGGGACAGCTCTGGTAGTTGTCAGAAAAAGATTGCAAAAAGATTGCCTGCTAGGGATGTGTCCATTTGTTTCCTAAAAAGTAAGACAGCCTTTATTATGAACTAGACCCTCTTTTACTCTGTTGTATATGCTGCTGGTTAAATATCAGGAAAATAAAGCTGAGCTGCAAGATTTGATGTTTGTTTGAGTCTCCCAAATGAATCTGCTAACAGCTTGTGCTTTAGCCTGTGTTACAGCACTGAGAAATAGTGAGACATGAGACTGCCTTTCTGGCACAAATGGAATATTTTACCCCTCTCAGTGAACCTGTTGAAGATTCATCAGCTTTTACAGCAGTTACAGTTACAGTGGCTTGTAAGAAAACACACCGGAAATTTTTGGCAGATAATATATTTTAAATGTACTATACTAAAAGGATGCTACTTCCCACTAGAAAAAGCAAATGAAATGCAAATTTTCTTTCCATATTCTTAGGGCTTAATATCTGTTGTTTGTATAAACAGGATATTAGCACTGTCTACCAGATCTTCCCAGATGAAGTTTTGGGATCAGGACAGTTTGGAATTGTTTATGGAGGTAAGGTTTTGGTGTGTTGTACAATTGTGCTTAAGATAAAAATTTTCTTGAACGGGGAAAATATTTGGACTCTGAAATTTTTTGTTGCAGAAATTAGCTGTCTGTTGTTTCATTTAAGACATATACGTTCAACAAAATATATGTTTAGATATACTGCAGAAATTGCATACATGTTTATATTTTATATGTTTATATTTTGTGTTGATGAAGTAATTTTGTAGATTGACGTTTTCTGCCCAGTGGTGGGTCAATGTCTATAATAGCTTCATATTCTCTGTAAGTTCTAATAAAGCTCTTCTTTTTGAGAAGTGTAATGCATGAAAAAAAACATTACTCTCCCTCTGTGTTCCTTTACATATTCCAGTGAGGCATTTTTTTGTTTCTTCAGTAGCTTGTTAGAATTGTTTACCTTTTTATTTTCTTATTAATTTTTCCTCTCTCTTGTCTCCTTTTTTCTGCAGTTTTTTGGGGGATGTATTTAGTTAAAGCTGTTGTTTGAGACAGTGTGAAGTGAGAACTAACAACAAATTTCTCACTGAGGTATCTCTGACTCTCTGGTAAACCTGGGACAGGCACTAACATGCCTGAAGGCTATCACATATTTCATTTTTTGCTAGTGTGGAGCTACCAGTGAAGGACTAAGCCTACAACCAGCCAGTTGCACAGAATGCAGCTGCAGCTTACACATATATGAGAAAATTAACTTTGCATCTATACTGTTGAAATGTAGAGCTAACTTTCTCATATGTTTGTTTCTTACATGTTTAAATGGCTTTGTCAGGTGATAGCAAGTTCTGTTGTCAAAGGGTAGAAAGAAGAAAAATGACAGAAAACTTTGTGTCTTATCTGCAAAGCAGGTCTGAGGATTACTTGGTTATGGCCATTTGTACAACCCATGAAAAGGAAACGCTTTTCATAATCATGTTAATTGATAGAAGACTTTTCTTTTATTAATGCAGGAAAGCATCGCAAAACTGGAAGAGATGTTGCCATTAAAATAATTGATAAACTAAGATTTCCAACTAAACAGGAAAGTCAACTTCGTAATGAAGTTGCCATTTTACAGGTACTTCTCTGTTGTTTTTTACTGTATTAGCTCCATTATTTATTTCTGTAAATACCAGATGATAATATAATGTTTTTAATTTATAATCACTACTGCCTTTGCAAAAATATTAGTATTTTTGCTGTATATTTTCCATAAAAAGCCAAATGGGTGAGCAATGTCACACGAGGAGTTAAAATTTCTGCAGTTTTAAGCACCAGATGCAATAAGGAAAATGTATTTTAAACTAATTTGAAATTCATATATTCTCCTGTACTTCCTGTAGGAATTTTGTCCCTGAGGCCTACAGGTTAGGCACACAGTTTAAATTACTGAATACTGAAACATTGTCTGGTTTAGGTGTCAGTGTGAAGTCTGAATATGCAATGATAAAAGCTACTGATCATACTGAGAAATCCAGTACTGTATTTGTCTTTAATAGAATCTTCATCATCCTGGGGTGGTAAATCTGGAGTGTATGTTTGAGACACCAGAGAGAGTCTTTGTTGTTATGGAAAAACTCCATGGAGACATGCTGGAGATGATCTTGTCAAGTGAAAAGGGCAGATTGCCAGAGAGAATAACTAAGTTTTTAATTACTCAGGTAAGAAATTAATTATAGACCTGGGAGGACATTTGAGGTCAATTATTATCACTACCAACATTATGTTTCTTCTGTTTTCCTTTTGACATAATTTACCTGACTGGTTGATGAAAATCTGAGTAAAACAGGGGTGATAAAACAGCTTTCTTTACATGACTCTATGTTACTATCTACATTATAGATAGTAACCCATTAAGAGGACTTAAAACTGGACACATAGTGCTGTTGGCTGCTGGATGGAGGGGACATCAACCTACAGTTTCTCATATGATGGAAGAATTAAGCACAAGAAAGGAAGCACTAAAAGCAAACCGTTGGAAAACTACAAAAGGAAATTTGAGCCTCTTGAACTGCCTGATATCAAACCACTGCAGTTCATACTATACACTGTTAAACCTATTTTCTGTGCTGAGATTGGATCTCAGTGCTACCTGTGTCTGAGTCTGGATTCCGTTACTACTTCTGTTAACAATTTGTTATGGGATTTATTTGAGCTTCCTGTTGTTATATTCCTGTAATATTATCATACTGTTTCTTTGGCTGCCCAAAATACTGGTTTAAATTTAGATACACACATTGGTAGTGAGCCACCTCACAGTCAGAGAAGCCCATGTTTCAGCAGTCAGGAAAAAGGAAAGTAGCAGGAGCAACTGTACTATGGTGTTTAACATTATAAATTCCTTATTTGTTGTAGAACTTAACAGGTTTCCTAGTTTCCAGGCTGTAATGGGCAAAGCTGCCACCAGCTTTAGAATTTGATTTCTTCTGTTCACAGGTTCATTCAGCCTCCTCACTGTTCACTGCTCTAATGCAGTGGCAAATTCTGTCACCCCCTGACCAAACAGAAGTTGAATTAAAGCCACCCAAAAAGAATGGATATGTCACACTATCACTATATTTATGTGTTTGTAACAGAGCAGAAATACATACAACACTCTGCATTCTTTCTGCCATCAAAAACACTTCAATTGGATCATATAATATTTCTGTGAAATGTTTTTGGTTGAATCTAGATATGAAAGGTCATTCTGCAAATGTTGCTACATTTAAAGATTTCATGCACAAAAAAGTAAACAAATACTTAGAACCCAGTTTCTAAAAGATGTTTATAGTGTAAACTCTTGGAGAGGGAAAAATATTTGATGCAGTGAAACATGAAGAAAACTTGAGGCACAGCATTTTGGTTTTTGTTAAGTTTTTTGTTTTTTTTTTTTTTCATTGTTGAAATTCTTGTAAAAGGTACCTTCTTGTTGAATTGTTTTTCTTCACACCAGTCCTTGCTTCTCTGCTCACTGATACTGTTCAAACAATATAAAACAACCGTCATTTGATTTCTTTATTCACAGATCCTTGTTGCTTTAAGACATCTTCATTTCAAAAATATTGTTCACTGTGACCTCAAACCAGAAAATGTGTTATTGGCATCAGCTGATCCTTTCCCACAGGCAAGTAGAAAATACCCTTTCTTAAGATACATTGTTGTACCTAATAAGTATTTATGTAACCTGTCTGCACAGAATTTTTAGGTAAGAAAAATTGATCACTTATTCAAGCTACTTCATAAAGAAGTTATGTTTGAAAATCCTTGATTCTTGTCATTTGTTTAACTAGATATAATTAAAATATTGAGCTAGATTTTCAAGTGTGACATAGCTACTTGTGTGATCATTTCTAATTTGCTCACCATTAAGCACAAATTACTTGGCTGGTTGATTTGCTCCAGAAAGAAAGTTATTTTTCTGAAAATTTGAATAGGGCTCATGAAGAACAAGAGCTTCTTCTTTAATTCTATACGTTTAAATGCCATGTAGATCACAGGATATTTAAATACACATTCTGACTGGTTATATTTCTCATTAAAAGGTGTTTTTATCAGCTTCTGTTACCTTCAGTCTACAGAATCCATCTATAATTTCCCTCAATCACCCATTTTCAAAATGAGTACTATTGATAATTTTTAGATAGTATCAGTAATTGGAAGGGAAGGATCTGTACTGAGTTGTTTTAAGCGAGAATTTTGAAGCTGCTTAATCTGTTACTTTGTAGAACTCAGACAAGGAAGTTTGTATAGCTAGAGTATAGCTAGATCCATAATAAAATAAAAGTGGAAGTTTAAAAACTAACTTTTGTTGCTTGTTTTAAGAGAAAGCCATAGGTAAAACATTTTTTCTGTTTGCTGTGTTCTTATGCTGTGAATGAAAAGTATTACTATTTATTACTACTTTTATCACAAACCTGAGCTGTTGAGCCTATCCACAACAGTGTTTTATTCATGGAATGAAGGAACAGAAGAGATACAATGGAGTGGTATTCCAGTCTACTGTTTCAGTGGAATAAGAATATTCCTCTCAAAGAGGAGTTTAAAAAAAAGTAGCCTTGAAGGAGCAGTAGAGATGCATCTTGCAACTAACTGATGATTCCCCAACTGTGTATTTGATAATAAAATTAATGTATGTCTTACTATAGGATTTTTCATTAAACAGGTAAAACTTTGTGACTTTGGCTTTGCCCGAATCATTGGAGAGAAATCATTTAGGCGTTCAGTTGTGGGAACACCAGCCTACCTTGCTCCAGAGGTTCTGAGAAACAAAGGCTATAACAGATCTCTGGATATGTGGTCAGTGGGTGTCATCATTTATGTAAGCCTCAGTGGTACCTTTCCATTCAACGAAGATGAAGACATACATGACCAAATCCAGAATGCTGCTTTCATGTATCCACCTAATCCATGGAAGGAAATTTCTCTTGAAGGTAATACCTGTTTGTGGTTGCTCTTATTTAAGTGCTCAAAAGAGTAGATGTATTTTACTTTTATATTATTTCCTTTTCATAATAGAATTTTAAAAAGAAAAAAAAAAATTCCAGTAATGTAATGTGTCTGTTTTGTGCTATCAGCTGTTATAGGCATTTCCTGCAGAGCACGTGTAGACTGCATATGGCATGATCTCCTAGCATGAGATCGCTCCAGGAGGTGTTGAAGGAGGCACATAACCACCTACAGATGAGATTGCTATAGAATCTGTGGGGAGCTTAAGCTCTTGTAATTGGTCTTGTGTATATTCATTTATGTACCTCATCATTCAGCTCTATTGCATCTGCAGTCTGTTTCTTGTTCTACTTGTTCCAGTAATTGAGTTTGGTTTCAATTGGATGCTGTACTCTGATATCTTTGTGTGGGGAAGATAAAAGTGAACAATTCTGTAGACGAGATTTCAGGAACAGTGTGAGAAAATGTCATACAAGAGACTTTATGCAGGGGGAAAAGGCTTGGAGATAACTGTGAGACCTTTGAAACTCGAGTTCTGGTCAATGGCATCAAAGACTTTTGATAAAAAACGAAAGAACAGTGTGACTAATTCACTAGGAACATCTTTAAAGAAGGTAAATTAGTTCTATTAAAAATGTGTCTAAACACAACTAAGTAGGCCATTTAAAAAAACAGGCACTTCTGGTTTCACTAACATTTTCACGTACGTAGCATTTTCAGGCAATTTGATTTTCTTTGCAATTTTTTTTTTTTTTTTAGTCCAGAGTTCTACAGGATTGTAAGTCTTAAAGCAAAGAAACATTATAAGCACCTGATCTTATATCCTTTTCTGAACTGTAATATGTGCTAAACTGAATTACAATACTAGCCTTTATAATTTCTGGTATTTTCAGTACCGTTTTTCTGCTTTTCAGGTGATGTGTTTAACATACTAGTTAAGCATAGTTTAGAGTAGTGTGCTTAATGCTTACTAAATATTGCAGCCATGTGAGATTCTCTTCTGAAAATGCTCTGAGAGCATTGTTTGTTATTTTATCTCAGTGGCAGATGAAGTTTGAAATCTGTTGGAAAAAAAAAAAAGCTATAAATCTGCACAATTACACACTGAAGTTCTCCTGAACCTCCACACACTTTGATATGTAAGCTGACAGAATCTGTTGGCAGCAATGCTTTATCTGTCGCTAGAGATAAGCAAACAGCAATCAACACAGGGGAAGCTGCAAGAAATTGTCTCCCACAAGTTTCTGCTGTGGTAGACAGAAGATCAATTTTTGCACTCAGAGGTGAAGATTCAGTAGAGCACCTACAGATAACTCACCTACTTGGGTGTTATCTCTCCATTTGTAGAATCACAGCCTTCATTAAGGGTTGATGGATAGCAGGCTGCAAGCATGCAGAAGGGAGGGAAACACACTAACTAATTACTAAATTAAAATCTGCTTATACATTGTGATTTTATTACATATTTTGGATTGCTCAGTGATGAACCACTCTATTTACTCTAAATGAAAACCTGGAAAATGTGTGAAGAGATTCCATTATGTCTAACAGAAGGAGTTGAAGTCTTGATCTCTGTACAAATATTACTCGATAAGGCTGATTTTTAGAGCTCAATTTTGAACTCAAATTCCATATTACTTAGGGAAAATAAAGGAATGTTTTTCTCAAGTCCTGCTTCACTCTCCTGCACAGATTGTGAGTGGGCAGGAGCTGCCCCTGTGGACCTGCTGGCTCCATCCAGTGTCTGTTACCTCTGACAGGGCAGCATGGTTAAAATGCAAACCTGTCCTGGTGTCCTAATGCGTCTGGTCCGGATTGCAGTTCTGAACAGTGCCATGTTAATTAATGCCACAAATGATTGGGTCATTTAGGGGACAAACACAGATTATTTTGAAGGTTTTATGAAGGAACTTCTGCATGCCTATTGCAGAGATTGGTGCTAAGGAAAGGCCAACAGCAGTTAAACCTTTTGTGTCATGCCCATGATTATTACTGTGAGTCAGAGAGCCAAATGTCTAAAACCTCTTGCAACTGTAGCTATTCCAGTGCTCTCTTCAGACCACTGTTCATGTAAAAAGTTTAAGAATGGCTCAACTTTGTTATTCCCATCTTCTATTTTTATTGTAATCAGAGAGGGAAAAGCATTTATTTCTTTGAATTCCAAAGATAGCACAGCAGTTAGAGTGAATTATGCTGTGTTTAGCACCACTTTGGCTTTAATGCACACCACATGCTCTTCCTGATACTTCCTAAACAACAGCATATTAATTTGTGAGGTGGAAGGCAGAGGGTAGTGAAACTTTAAAAGAAAAAAAAAATGAGACTGATCATATGTAAACAATGTATCTGGAGAAGTAACAGCAATGGTAAAGTAGCATTAATATTCCCAATATATGTTACTTAGTCAATTACTGGTCTTTAAGTAAAATTGGCTTTTCAAATTTTAAATTGCACTGATGAGGTGACGGATTAATAAAAACCACATGACCCATAATAATTTAAACTGCATGGTAATATAAATAATATATTTAATGTCTAATGGATTAGGAGGAAATGCACATGGAGATAAGTTGTGTTTTGGAGGAAAAGTGTGCCATATTGGGTAATATTCTGGTGAGCGTTGATTTTCTTGATAGTAACTTTTTCTGTAGCATTTTGTAGCAATTCTTAAAATCTGCAGTCACAAGCCAAGAAAAAAGAACTTATTTGAAGATAAGTTGATGGTGATGGTGACTTAAAAATATTAAGCATATTTTCTGAATGCTTAATATTTTTAAGTCACCATCAACAGTTGTCTTCTCTGCCAGTCATTTATATGGTCTAGTCATTCACTGAGTCCTCTCTTTCCATAATGTGTGTGTCTGATGTCATAACCCCTAGATTAATTTCATCAACTCTTCCTGATGAGAAATTTAGCTTTTCTGTGTAGTGCTTTGTCCTTCCATTTATCCATTTAAGATATCCTTTTATCCAACTTAAGAAAATGAAGACTTTTCAGGTTTGTAGGTTTCTTCATAGGGAGTTCTGATTTTTACCTAAGTGGCTGCATTTTTCTATATTTTTCCAGTAACTTCATTCTTTCAAAAGACTACATCCCAAGATCTGATTCTGTTTTGAGATGTCTAAATAAGATTGTAACACCTTACTGTAGATAGGTAGTTTTTGTGGTAGATGTTTGGTATGTTTTAGAAAACCAGGTTTTGTTAGAGCCATTCAGCAATTCATTGCCCAGTCTATTTCTGCTCTCTCTTCAATGTTTGTCAAGCCAGGCTGCATTTCCAAATTCTGAATTGCTGTATGACAATTTGAACTTAATTCAGTCCTCATTGTGGCATTTTGCTAGATACTTATGTAGAGGAATCTACTTGCAGAATTCCTGTCTATTTTATAACTTGAAATTTCACATGTCTCAAACATGGAACCTGTTTTCAACAGCTTTGCTGTTTGTTTCCAGTTTTAACCTTCCAGTCTACCAAACTTGCATCATCTCAAGAGATTTATTTTTACTTCACTACATGACACAAGAAATAAATATTGCTAAATATAAAGATAGAACTCCATTATGGATTTTTTCTCTCTGTCTGTTAGTATATTTTATGTACTATGACTTCGCTGTGGTAGCTATTCTTTTGAACTGTATCGTCCTAAAATGTGCTCTATCAAGATTGGAATTATTCATAGTGTGTTTCATTGTACTGTCCTATTTTCATAAAACATTGTATTCATAACTCTTTTTTCATCAGCTACCACCAACACAGCTATTGCTACCAACCTGATGGGCTGTGTGATGTACATGACACATTGTGAATTAGGTGCTTCACATAATATTATTAGAATAACTTGGGAAGAAACAATGCCATTCCTATAATGCATTAAATTTGGTCATGGTGTCCCTGTTACAATGCTTTGTAGTCATATATATATACCATGGCTACCTTTGAGTCAGTATTTATTTATACTTCTTCCAGCATAATGTGAATAGAAAACTCTGAGTGCTTCACACATTAATGAGAAAGTCACATGAATGAATGAGCATTGAGTGTCAGGAGGTCAATGCATGTTATAGCTCAAAGATGCTCTCTGCCTCTGTAAATGTTTAGCTAGCTGTTGAAAAGAAGGTCTTGGCTCTTCTTACACATTTGCTTGGATAAAGTAGTATTGGGAAACCTCACTTGTAGGGTACAGCTTAGAATTGACAAGGATTTCTTTTGAGAGTACAGCTGAATCTGTGTGCCTGAAAATCTCAGCCAACTGAAGATCATTTTATGCTAAAATAACTGCATGTACACTGGAGCATTTGTCAACAAAGCTGTATTGACTAGCAGCAGGAAAGGGGTGTGTGTGTATGAAAAAATTATAATAATGATGACCTCTAATCAATTAACCTATTCTTAGAAAAATCCAGGGTCTAGGAAGTCCTGGACATCCTGTATTAGTTGAAGCAGCTTAAATTTGTACAAATGATGGCAGTAAGAGTAGGTAGTATTCTAGGTGTATTTTAAAATTCTTAATCAATTATAAATTTATCATTAATTTAGGACTGCTTTTTTTTAATATCTTTCAGGTGATTTCTTGTTTATAACGTATGTAAAAAGTTTAAATCTGTAGGGAAGGACTAAATTAATGATATGTTTGTAACAGGGTTTTTAAGATATTTTGTAAACTTTTGCATTTATATCCAGGGCACGTCCTAGCTGAGTTAAAGCAGTCATTCCTGTGAAAAGCAATTATTCTGTTATCTTGATACTTAGAGTGAAAATTGTGACTTTGTCCGTACTACAATTATTTATTTGGCATATTAATAAACTTGCATAAGCAGTACAGAGTCATGAACCTCCTGACTGTGGAGGTTCTTTCTAGTGAATTGAAAGAGCTATCTTTCCTAAAATCAAAGGGATACAGAGCTTTCTAAAGTTTGCATTTGAATTTTTCTGTCGGGGATTCTGCTGAATGATCCCCTATCTAAAAGGCCAGTACTCATTCTGCTGGAGAAGTTGGCTAGTTTATTCCCTTTAACAAAGTCTCCAGCTCCTAGAACTTTATAAGTCTTCAACTGACTGTTTACACTATCATGAAAGGTAAGCCAGGTGCCCATAAAAAGGTAAACAGGAGTCCATAAAAGTGTTAGCAAAAGCACTTCCATAATCCTCTCAGAACTTTCACTCAGGTTGCCTTCTTGGTGATAACCTGGTGCATTCCCCTAGATTGTGTGCAGAGCAGAGGTGGTCTTTCTTAATGCTCTCAATTTACTTAATTATAGATTTTACACAGGAATACTATAAAATTTTATAAAGCTCCTAAAATGTCTGGTAAGGATTACTTTGAAACCTGATTTAAAATAAAAAATCAGTGAAAATTCTTGAAAATACTTAAAAATACTATTTAATTACTACCCTCTCCTCAAAACTGCTTCATCTTCTTAGACAGAATATTTAATTTTGTAACAGATGATGCCCAAATTTCGCCCCCTGAAGTTGTATGTCTAAAATAAATCTTAATGCCTTCCAAATTTTTATCTTCAGTGTTTTTAAGCAGTACAACTCAAAATTTAATCGTCAAACAATTATTTATTTTTAATTCAGAAATTGAGTGAACATGAATCTTACTGTTCATTTTACATGAATTGAAGCCAGACTAAACTTTGTAAGATAGTGGCTGTCAGGATGCTGTCAGAACTGGATGGAAGTTTTGTGAATTTAAACACAGAGAAAAACAGTGAACTTTTCACAGGTCTTTTAAGCATTTTAATTCCAGCACTCACAATGTCGTTACTAAACTTCCTAGATTCTTCTTTGCTTTACCCTGTTCTTTTGTTGCCTTGCCTGTATCTATCACTTGCATCTTGGCTACTGTTACTCAGACAGAACTCTTACAGGTTCAACAAGTGGCATTTCTTGAATTGCATGATTTCCTAATAAAAAGCGGCAAAGACTCTTTGCTGTTGAAGCTCATATTTTCTTCTTTCACCTAAGTTTGAAAACTTTGAGTAATAAAGCAAATAAAATTGTATCAGATAGTTTGAGTTTCTACTTCAGGTGTACTTCTAGTAGTCACGTTTAATTTCTGCTTATTTATTTATTTGTGCTTATTTCTTAAGAGGCAAGGGATAGACAAAACTTTCCTGGCAAAAAGAACTCTAGATAAAAAACGAAACAAACAGCAAAACTGGTCACAGAGACAGCAGTATTGCAGTGGTGAAACAAGTAGCCTGTCTGTGTAAACTGTTTTCAAGTGCTTGGTGCTGACAATTGTAACCATCCAGGGAAACTGCCTTTTCCCCCTCATCATAGTTTTCTTCCCTGTCTTTTTTTGTGCACCTTCTCTAGTGATTTTTTTCTAGACCAGTGCCTTTCTGGTCTGTTCAACAAGCCATTTGTAATTTCCCCGAAGAATACAAAGGAATTTGTTATTACACGTAATACATCCTTGTCCTGAAGTGAAAAAAGGGGCAGAGGGGCCCCTTGTCCTGTTGGAACTTGCGGGAAGTTGAATAGCTAAATATGATATCCTCACTTGTGAGGCTCACAGCCATATCTGCTTCCAGTGGGTTGCACAGAAGGAATGTAATAGAGACATTATCAACCCTCAGTGGGTGCTTGACAGTTACCGAGGCACATGCTGGGATATGTGCACCTACATCACAGCAGTTACCAGGACAATCAACCTCTCATCAAGTTCTTGACCTGTTTTCCAAACTGAGATTCATAGTAAATGATTGAAAAATGAACTCTGAAGATCATACACACCCAAATACCACTGAAAATAATAAAGAAATGGTAGCCCTACTAAATTCACATTCAGCACTGGCTTATATACCAAAAGACAGACTGAAGTCTTACTCTAAATTCAGCAGTATTAAAGTAAGTTGGACAGTTGTTGCAGAAGATGCTGATGTTTGTTGATACCCAGATCTTCTGCAGTGGGTAAGGGACTATGTTTTCCTCTTTGAAACATCAGATAAAAACAACTATCACTACTTTTTGATAGGTGGCATCAAAGCCGTTGTGTATGACTGACTTCCCAATCTCTTCCCCACAGCTTGGAACCTGAGAATATCTCATATGAATAAAGAGGAAGAGGGTTTTATTTTGGAAAAGAAATGAGTTTTAAGAATGATGCCGTCTGTCAGTAATGGTCCTACTGGATATCCACTGACTTTCTTATCCTACATACAGTTTACCAGCATTTTGAGAGGGAGCAAAATAAACAGAAGTTAGAAAATTTAGCATTAACTGTACTTGATGCTGAAAGAGTCAGTAGATAACAATCTGTTTGTCTACAATAGAAAAGTAAAATTAGGACCATCTGTTCCAGGAAAAGAATGGCTCAGAGCCTCTGGCAATGCTTTCTTTGTCAAAAGTCCTGAGAGTTATTTTCTGTCATTCCCGTGATTGCTCTGATTTCCAAGACAGTATTCATCACCAGGAAGTCAGGGCTGCTTTAGTGATAGTCTCCCATTGCCAAGAATAGGTTTGTCTATCAAATTAACTGCATAAATTCAGATAGACTGCCATGTGCATTCCCATTTTCCTGGATATTGTTTTCATTGTTTTCTGCCCCATGACAGAAGCACACATAAAGCCCTAGATGGCAAATCGAGCCTGCAGAGAGGAAGCCTCTGTTAAAAAAGAAAAGCTTTTCCATATTGTTGTACAAAATACAACCTCAGAGATAATTAGTTTAAAGAATTCTGTCCCATCTCATACTCTTAAAACAGACAAGATGATTATTCAGCTCCTTTAATACCCAGCTGGCAACAATATTCGTCTGACGTGTTTCAGACCCGGTGCCCCTCAGTGGTGCCATGGGTCTGTGTTACTTTCGAGACCAACTTTCCCTGTCACCATGATATAAACAGAGAAATAAAGATATAAACCAGCATACTTTGGACAAGCCAAGGGATAATGTGATGAAATGGAAAAATTGCAGGAATATTATCATTCCTTGTGGCTAGTCAGTTATTCTGGAATAGCAATAACTTTCCACCAGAACTCATGCTGAACATTTAGCACCACCTAATATGATTTAACCTCCTTTCATTATAGCCTCTTTTTTTTTTTAATGTTTTTCTGTAATTGCATTCAAAGCTCAGCAGTCTCATTACAGAGATTTTTCCAAATGGGTCACTCATTGCAGTTCCATGCATTGGTCATTGGCTCATGGGTCTCAGGTCTCATCCCTTCAGGCACCACAGCCCACATACCTACAGGGTGAAAGAGTTGGCTTTGTTCAGCCTGGAAAAGATATTTTCCAGGGGAGTCCATATAGCACCTTGAACTACCTAAAGGAGGCTACAAGAGACCTTTTACAAGAGCATGTTGTGATGGGGTAATTGCTTTTAACTGAAAGAGGGCAGGTTTAGGTTGCTTATTAGGAGAAATTTCTTGACTCTGACGGTGATGATACAGTGGGACAGGTTGCTCAGAGAGGTTGTGCATGCCCCATCTGTGGAAGTGTTCAAGATCAATTGAGCAATCCAATCTAGTAGAAGGTCTCCCTACCCATGGTAGTAGAGTTGGATCTTTAAGGACCTTTTCAACCTAAACTATTCTGTGATTCTGTGAACCTCAGTGAATCGTTGACTCTAAAACCACAGAAGTCATGAAATTGTTAAAGATGCCCTTCTCACTTTTCTGACACTGCCTAAAGCAATACTCAGTTCAAAAGAATAGTATTGCAAGACTTGATGACTTACAAAACCTAATTTCTCCACTCAGGGACTGGGAAGGTGCTGCTGTCAGTTGTGACATTGAAAGTCTCAGAAAAATATATACATATATATTGTTTACTGTGGTACCTGAAGAATGCTGTTCTTGGGAGGAAAGTGTTAAAGCTGGAAGATTTGGCAATGAGGGAGTATTTTTACTTGAAGTGACCTTGCACCTTGCTGCTAAAAATGTTGGTGTAGGAAAGCTCCATTTATTATGCTGAGTGTTTCTCATCCTCTGCCTCTTTTGAGAAGTAGAATTCACTTGTAGAGACAGCAGACTCTCATAGACAGGCTTGAGCCTTGTGCGGTGACAGAGATCACAGAAGCGCAGCCTTGAGAGGAACTGGGGGTGCCACAGCCCTGTGATACATCGGGGCAGGCAGTGCCCCCCTTCTGCCAGGATGAGCTGAGCCCAGTAGAGCTGGTGTCCCGGTGCCTGTGCAATGGAATAAACCTCCTCCTTGCATTTCACCTGTGGCTTGGTGGTTGCCTTGGTTGCCTCCATGTGTCAAATCACACAACTGTAGACCTCATATGAGTTTTTTTTTCTCTTGAGCAGGATACGCATGAGAATTACTTTCAAGCAACTGTTCAGTAAAACAGTTTTAATGCCATTAGGAAGGGTTGCATGGGTGCCTGCAGGTACATCAGCATTGACTGCAATTTATAAAAAACTGGAGTGAGAAGGGATAACTGCCCTCTTTTTACAAGCACCATGTCTGTGTAGCTCTCTGTTTACATGTCTTAGCTGAAACAAATACATTTGAACTAACATTTTCCAATATTATTTCTTTTCAGCTATTGATCTCATAAATAATTTATTGCAAGTGAAAATGAGAAAGCGCTACAGTGTGGACAAGACGTTAAGCCACCCATGGTTACAGGTACTTCTCCAAATTCCATGTTTTTCCTTTTGCATTTGGACTCTAAAGATATAAAAAAATCTTCATCTTTAAGTAGAATCTAAAAAAATCTACTAACCTGAATATTATTTTAGGTCCTTAGAAGCTCATGCTTGTTCACCAATTTACCTATGGTTTCTCATTAATTTCTGAAATATTAGATTCCAATACTAAACAGCCTCATGCTGTCAGAATACATTAAAAAATATTTTATCATTTTTGTCTACTTAGAAAATTACATATATTAAAAAATTCCTTGTAGTCATTTGACTTACATTATTTCATTGCCTGCGGTTTACTCTGATTCACTTCTTATTAAAATTATTCAACGATTTTTCACTTTACAGTCATCACAAAAACTAATGAAATTGTGTGCTTGCCAGGAAAATACATTAACCACATTCAACTGAATTCTTCAAGTGAAAACTGAGATATAAGGAATTTTTTAGATGCTAGCAGTCTCTGTCTTGTGCTCACCATATGATATGGTAATCTTTTTTTTTATCCTGGCAGCAGCCAAATCACTGCAAGTTCAAGGCCCAAGACAAAGCAGTGAGGAGCCAGGGTCTGCTTCAGCATCCCCAGCCGAGGAGCAGGGAGGCCTGGGGGCAGCCCAGGCCAGGGCACTGTGTCCCTCCCTGGAGATGAGGACAGGCTGAGGCCAGACAGATGCATCAGCCTGTCGCATCTCCTAGAGGAGCTCTGTTTACATCTAGGAAAGTAATCATGGCACAGGCATGGCATAGACCAGATGCATAATCCCCAATCCCAAAGGAATCTTTATCAAACCAGAAAACTGAGTCCTACTTCAGTGTGTTATAGCTGGTACTGTGTCTCAAAGTAGATGGTGACCTTCTGGTATAGGAGGAAAAGGGCTGTAACTGCTCATGCTGCATCCCACCTTTCTCAGGGATGTTTATCTGGAGCTTGCTCTCTTACCCTTAGATTTCCTGTCCCTCACTAGTTCTTTTCCTCCAAGACCACTCCTCTGCCTGGCAATCATCACAGAACGCATTTGCTTGAGTCTGTGGGGATCAGAAGTGTCCGGGCTGAGGTCTACAGCAAGGATGCTGGCTGTCTCATGTGACAGGACAGGGTCCTTCTCCTCTAGATCCACTTTTATTGCTTGTGTACTAGTGAGTGGAGGTGAACTAAGATGAGGCAGTTCAACAGCAGCTCTAGCCCCAGGGATGGGATGAGTCCTCTGTCTAGAAGAGTCCTGCTTTGCAGGCTAAGGAAAGATAACAGTGGTTACTTTTCCTTACAGGGCAGTGAGACTTAGTGGTGTTCTCTGAGAGGATGACTCTAAGAAATAAGCCAAAGTTTATGTGATACTACAGATGAAAGCTTTATGCGTTTACTTTGTTTAGGCTTTCTGGTGCTTTGGCTATGTGGTTAGGGCTGTGTCTTAGGCTGAGACAAGGGGAAGGAGAAAAAAGAAAACTGGATACAGGATCATGAGGAGAGGGTTAGTCTGCATGGGGCTAGGATTGGCTCTATTACTGCAGCTTCATGTGTTCTTTGGGTGGGAATAAGAAAAGAAATTATTAAACTTGCACATTTTGGGCAGATGAGTGGCTGCAGTGCATAATGGTCTAAACAGCATGAGACTCAAACTAACTTCCATCCTTAAATTTGACTGTCAACATGGAGTTCCAAACTACCTTAATGTTTAGATGTATGCATTTCTTTGAGGAAACCAGTAATTGCCCAAGTTCAGAAAAGGAGATTTTTCTATCCCAAGCTGAATTTGTGTTCTGCATTATTATACTGAGATACAGACTTAGCTGTCTTGACTGATACAGATCACTAGAATGTATTTGTATGATTTAAAGATGTTTCTTCTTCCTTATTCATCTTGTGACTAGAAGGAGGAATTGCTTTACCACCATGCCTCAGTTAGATATTATGGCAATCTATACATATCTGTACATTTTGCAAAACAACCTGTAATTCTGTAAAGCTCAATACTATAATTGTGACAATTCAATTAAATTAATTTATTAAAAAATCTCTAGAGATGAAATTTATATCTTTAGGCAGATTTCACATTTATATAAGATTTTTTCCGTTGTAGAAAAAATAGGGATGATCCTTTGATAGCTGAGTTAATAGCACTTTGAGTGTTATTGATAGCAAAGGGAGTATACTTTATTTCAGGAAATTTAAAAGTAATACTGTTATTCTTTTCCAGGACTACCAAACCTGGTTAGATTTAAGGGAACTGGAATGTAAAATGGGGGAACGTTACATCACCCATGAAAGTGATGACTCCCGGTGGGAACAGTATTCAGAAGAACATGGATTGCAGTATCCAGCACACCTTATCAGTCCAAGTGCTAACCATAACGAAAACACCACGCTAGAAGAAACAGAAATGAAAGCCCTCAGTGAGCGTGTCAGCATCCTTTAAGTTACATCCCCTATAATCTGTCAAAACACTGTGGAATTAATAAATACATACGGTCAGGTTTAACGTTTGCCTTGCAGAACTGCCATTATTTTCTGTCAGATGGGAACAAAGCTGTTATGCTGTTACACTGTTGATATATCTGAGTTGCCAAGACAAATCAACAGAAACATTTTTGTGTGACCAACTGTGTTGTATTTACAAAAGTTCCCAGAAACACTAAACTTGTTATTGTGAATGATTCATGTTGTATTTAATGTATTAAAACCTGTCTCCACGGTGCCTTTGCAAACTAGTGATTTTCTTACTTGAGCCTCATTTTGGTAAGAGAGAACTTTCCCGGGAAGATCTCGGGGGTATTTTGTGCATCGTTAGTATTGTAATTGTAAGCAAACTCTTGAAGAGTAGATTATAACTGCTGTTCTGTGAACAACTTCTACCATTTGGATAAAAGCTTTATTTAGTGTTCTAGAAATAGAAAAGGCAAAAAATAATGAATTGCATAGAATTGTACAGTTTCAGATAACCTGTGTATTTGTATGTTCATGTATATAGATACACATGCACACAGTATAACTTGCTCTTAAGCCTAAATGCCTTAGTAAAATATAAGCTGCAGCATGTCAGTTGTATTTCCCCTTTTCTTAAAATATTCTTCTCTATTATGAATATTCTCTAATATGTACATTCAAAAACTAAATAACGTGTTGACTTTGTGTATGTTTTCAATAAAAGTCTTGTTAAAATAGGTTCATTGATGAAACTTTTTGTTTAAAATAACCCTGGAGTGGCATCAGAAGTATATAGAATAAATTAACTCATCATTAAGAAGACAGCGTGGAGGTAGGTGGGAAAATGCTGCTGGACAACCTCTGTTCCTTTCACACATATTTTATGAGAACCTAATGGGTCTGATTTTGTTCAGTTTTGAAACACACTGAGGGAGTGGGGAAGTTGATGCATTAAAAGAATTTTAGTTTTTTGAGAAATGCTCTGCTTCTGCTTTTCCACTGAGTTCCACTGAACTGCATATCTTTCTTGCTCTTCTTCCCCTGAAAACTTTAAAGATGCTAATTTTCATTTCTTACTATTACTTAGACTACCAATGCTAAGCTATTTAGTTTTAACAGTGAGAGATATTCTTGCTGCACTATAAAAACACATGACAGAGGAATTCACTAAAAGGCTGAAATTTATTCTACGCCGTTTTCTGTCTTGGAAAAAAAAACAGTTAATGTATAGGTTGTAATGTAAGACTGAGGTTAAAAATGTAAAGATGCGTTGGGCTAGAGCTGGAAGTACGCAAAGATAAGAGCTAATAGCCACATATGGTAAAGCTCCACTGCTCAAATATTGGCTTTATGTTAGAGTCACGAGCTCTTCATTAGATAAATTCATTCTTTCATTGAAGAAGAGCTTTGTCCTGAGAAAATTTTTGCCAGATACATAACATCACTAAAACCAGAAGAATTTTTCCTCTGTATTTTACACCTCTGCTGGACGTTTATTATGTACCATAGCGAAAATGAAGAAAAGGCACCTCTATTCAAACAGAAAAAAATATATTCTAGAAAATTAAAAAGTACTGTGAAAAAATATTTATAAATCTATTTTCCTTCCTCCCCACTTTCTTTTGCTACTTCCACTTCCAAAAAAACCAAAATCCTTTTCTGCTTAAGGTCTCTCATAATCATGGTCTTTTGACATGTTCTGAAGAAGTTCTTGTTGGGCAAGGTCAAATGTGTCGACTATTCTGCCATGCTGCATTTTTCTTCCATATCTATATTTTCTGTCAGGATGTTCCTACAAGGCTAAGTATTGGCTAATCGTTGGCCATTATTTATTTTTCTTTCAGCCTTAACCTTAATCGTCAATTGACAGTAAAGTAAACATGAAAATAGAGTTGGGCTGAGTATCAAATTTTTTGTTAGTAAAAGTGCACGTGCTTGAGTATATTTAAAAGTAAGTCCACTTACAGGTGCACTGGTGGACTCATGGATGTAGGAAGATTATATCTGTTCCATTCTATGAGTACTCCAGGGGTCAAGACAAAGAAACTAACTTTTCTAAGAGGAAATCAGGAGAATTACCAGAGTCATATAAACTTTTTTCAGATGCTGTTATTATGACTGCTCATAAGGAGCCCGGATATCACAGAAGTGCATTAATTGTCTTGTGTCATTCCCTTGGTATTAACCAGTAACAGATTTAAAGTTCTGCTTTCATATTGTTCAATTTAGATGAATTGGGATTTTAGTAGTTGACTTGGTTTCATTTACAATTAATGTACTAACTCTTGAGCAAAGGTGGTTTCCAACAAAATATTCTCAGAAATATTAAATAACATACTGGCGCTCTGTTCTTAATCATGGATAGTAGTGTAGAAATTAGGTGGGAAAGCAAAACACTGTAACTTTCAACAGCATGTCTAATAAGATGGGTGACAAAAACTGCAACTTTCAGTGAAAAATGAAGAACATTGAGTACTTCCACTAAATCCCAGTGTCTGCTGATTTCTTTCATAACAAAGGTCGTCATGCACATGACTTTGCTCAGCACAGACCTATGTTAATCAACTTTTTCAATCTCATGGAGCATTTTCAATAAACTGTTTGCCAGTGGGGCAGAGACAAAAGTATAAATAAATTTCTTTCCTAAGAAACTCTGAGTAGTCACTAAACATGGCTTCCAAGAAACTCTTATTACTAGGGGCACATTTCACTTTTTTCCTCTCCATGCCTATTTTGTTTTTGTTAAGGTTTTTGAGTGCTGAAGCTTGCTTCATCACTTTAAGAAACTTGTGCAATATTCATTGCTTTTCAAAAATAATCTGCCTTTAGCCAATATAATACATTAATTTTTTCCCTGCTGTTGTTAAAAAATATTACACTGTGAAATTTGAGTTCTTTGCATTTGAGCCAGACAGATGAATTCACTGATTCCTAACTCGTAGCCTAAATGGAACAGACACATCAGCATCAAAGTGTACTGAAGCAAATCTGGGGTCGTGTTGTTCTGTATAATTTTCCTTTGTGTATTTTTTTTGGTTGAGTTTTTTTTTTTTTTTGTTTGTTTGTTTGGGGGTTTTTTTGTTTGTTTTTTTGTTTTTTGGTTTTTTTGTTTTTTGTTTTTTACTCAGGAAAAAGGAATGGTGAGCTACTCTGTGGCAATATTTCCATGGCCTGTACCATTCTCCATTAGGCCAGCAGTTCCTGCACATGCATCATGGAAGCAAGACCAACAGTGGTTATGCTGCATAGAAGTGTTGACCTGTTGATGGTATTTCCTTTTCTGCTACACCATATCCTATGCATATCAAGCACATGTGTACAGGTAATCATACATCTGAAGACACATTTATTGTGTCAAAACTTAGCTGTGGAGTGCAGAGAAGTATCCAACAGATACTTGGAAGTCAGAATTTCTGATTTATGTGGAGTAGCCACTTCCATTTCTACAATCTTTGGTAATTCTGGAACAGTTTATCCAGCGTCTTGTCCAGTTTAACTAAAACAAAGGGAGCAAAAGCATGCCCTTGTGCAGTTTGTACAGCTCAAGTGTCATGCAGCTGCTCAGCCAAGTGTCACCATCCATCAATCCATCCATCCATCCATCCATCCATCCATCCACATCTTCACATCACAGGATGGAAAGGAATTCCCATCAGTATGCCTTTCTCTCCCATTGTCTCAGATATGTATCAGACCTCCTCATTCTCATCTTAGCAAGATCTCTTCAAAAACAGTTGGATACTCTACTTTCTGTGTTTTTCACCCTCCCTACTCTTACCCTTCTTCACCTCACTCCTGAAAAGCCTTCCTAGAGTCTCATCTCTCCAGGAATTAATAAACAGCAAATCCTGTTCTCGTGTCAAGGCAGTAGCTATTTTTTGTCTTTAAAACAGGGGTTTTTTTTGTTTGAAAGATTATTTTTTTCACATTATTAGATAAACAAACACCTCTTCTGTGCACCTGAATTTTTCTTGGACAATGAAGTCAGAGACATGATAGGGAAAATGCTAAGCTGATACAAATATTTGGCATTCTTTCAAATAAGGGAGAAAGGAAAAGGAAAAGAAACCTACTAAGCAAATGTTTAGAATTAATCACTAGGCAGGTTAATATATATATACTTCAGTCTCTAAGACTGGACAAAAGATTGGAGTTGGATAATGATGAATTATGGTGCAGTATTATTCAGCTGGGTGTACTAAAATATTGGCATCCTGGAAAAGCTCTACTTCATGCAGATACTCCAGAGACTAATGCCTGTAGTTGCTTAGCACCCCAAACTTAGCTAAACTTATCACTTTGATGGAGAAACTGGTAAGTTTTTTTTTCCCCTAGAAAAATAGACCAAAATGTATTTAGCAAAGGAAGTCAGGCACATGCTGCACTGGCCATCTTCTGCCTCACCATTCCTGTGGCATCTGAACTAAAAACTCATATTACTGGGGTTTTCCATGCATATGCCAGGTGGGAAATAACCAAATCAAATGTAAACCAGAGGAACTCTCTTGGTAGATCAAGCACTTTCCAGTGGTGACAAATTTGACGTGTGAGTGGAATGTAATTTCACTTTGCTTTTTGCTTACCTTGTTTCTAGCAACTGGAGGGAGTCAGTGTTGAAACTGGAGTCTACTGAGTGAGCTAATATTTGTCCGTGCTTCTTGATGCATCACTGCTTCATTTCAGCGAAGAACAGGGAGCACACATAAGAAGTGTGAACTATTTTGCTGCCTTACTAAGCACATCTACAAGCTTGAGCATCACCTGTTCACAAATAAGAATTTAATAAAAGTCTTCTTCAGTTTCAGACTGAAAACTTGCTCTTTTGTAAGGCTCTATGAAATGAAATGTTTTGCATGGGCATCCAAGCACTAAGGTCCTAAACTAAGGGAGTCTATCTCTTGTGTGAGTCTGGAGAACCTGAGGCCTCACTCTGCAGAAGTCTGCCAGGCAGGGTGCCAACCAGGGGAGCTAAAGGAAAACAGGCATGATGAAAATGTGCCTTTAAGGCAAATGCCAAAATCTGTAAGCATGTGTGTGCTGCCAAAGTTTGACAAAAATTGGCAGATTCTGTTGAGTATTTCTATCAAGACAAACTATTTTTCAATATAAATTTATTATACATTTGCCAACTATAACTTAAATAGTTTTCTGTATAACTTCCAAAATGAATAGTGACTTATTGGTAATGACCTCTGACACTTTTAATGGGGACTGTTGTTTCAGAGAGTCCTAATAACTACCCTGTGAAAAGCAAGTAGATGTTATGGTTCCTCTGTTGACTTAGGCATATAAAAACATGAGTTATTTGAGCAGTTAGGTCACTGAATTTAATACATGGAAACTTAACTGACATATTCTTAAAAAAATAAAAATTGACTTCAGGGACCTGGCTCACATTTACCAAGTAAACAGCTGCAGCATTTTAAGATGTTACTATCTCAGCCTCCAGCTGTTTGTTACTGGCCTTATAACAGAGCAAAAATAGAATATTTCAACTCTTCTGGCTGACACTCAGAAGAATCTAAGCACAGCTTTTATTTTGATGTTTAAGTTAATTTTTCCAATTGTGAATTAGAGCTGGGATGCTTCATTCTGCCATCTCTGCCATCTGCAAAAGGGGCAGGAAGGAGGGTGAGGGCATTCTGCTGCTGTAGTTGAGTTTGCCAGAAGTCACAGGTCAGAGTGCTTAACTGTATTTCTCAAAAGTGAAATATGCTTGCAAGCATGAATTCCTGAGGGTTTC